AATTTCTATTTAAGATTAGGCTGTTGTCAAATTGATCGCAGCGAGCATTTTGAACATCTCCTACATTGACATTAAGCTTTCTTTTGCTTTTTTACATTATCAATAAAAAACAGTATTACTTATTAATTTTTGAGTGTGTTGTAGGGAATTTCTGTAATCAAATAATTTTCTTTTTTTAATGTTAATTTTTGCAATAAATCTGAAAACACTTAATATTTCGATTCCGAAACATTCGAAGATAGATACGTTGTACATGAAATATGTCTAGAATTTTCCGAAGAATAAAAAAATTGAATAATATGCAGGGTGTTGCATTTAAAATAAGAAAGTTGGTATTGACCACTATTACATGACACACCCTCTATAAAAAGTTTTTGTTGAAAAAAAATGCGCAATTAACAATATCAATCGACGTCTCCGAGCGTTTTTTCGAACATGCCCCCATAAGAGTATAGCTAAAATGATTTGGCCGAATAAAAAGCAAAATTTTTAGCGAAGGACTTACAAATTAACATTTAAATATCAATTTTGAACAACCAGTGGTGGAGGCATGGGTACTTAATAGGTACTCTTAACTTACAATAAAAAGTTGCACCATCCTAATATTGAAATCTTAAGCATTTTTTAAAGTAGACTTTCATTTCATTTCAAGTAAAAATTGTATTTTAACCTATTTTCGTATCTCGTTCCACAACAAATTTAACTTTTTCCATTTATTTCGCTGTTTCAATCAAAAAATACTTTTAATTTATTATTGTAAGGCGGAAAAATGGGTGTCTATGGTAAAATTGTTTTTTTTTTCTAAGTTAAGAAACTGCGATAGATCTGTATTCCGAAAATTTTTGACTGAACGTGAATTTCTTAATTTTCATAAAAAAAAAGTCTAAAGATTTCTGTTGCAACACATGAGGCTTAATAAGTAGCATCTAACTAAAACACAATACTGCAATTTAAATTAACAATAAATATAAATCATAATAGTTCCTCAAAATGTGTGATGAGCATCAATACAAGCCTAGCATCAATTGAGTCAATTATTTACTGCCTGTAGATATTCAGTGTTGAGAGTATCGCATTTTTTTCAAAAATTTCTTTGATCTGTAATTATCGGAAACGCATAGACATTTTGTTTTAAACTGGACCGTAAAGATTAATCTAATGGATTTAGATCAGGAGACTGACCAGGTCACCGCATCTGTCCACAACCTGATTGAAATGCAACTATTTGTCTGGGCGAGCAGTGTCCAATCCATCTTTGTGGATAATTCATGTCTAGACATTTTCTAACTTATCTCCCTAAATGTGGCTGAATTCCATCCAGTTGCATCCACATTTCTTGCCTGATATTTAGAGGTACGTCTTCCACTAGGTAAACAAAATCGTTTTGTAGAAAGTTAAAAAATGTATGTGCATTGTCTACAATACCTATCCGCACATTTAAAAAGAATTCCGTTTGAAACGATACTGGATGCACTTTTTTTCGATTTTGTTGAGCTCACATAGGTCAGTTATCGTAGTAAGTTATTAACAGTGTTAATTGTCACGTCTAGAATCTACTATTTATTGACAAAAATCTGCTATTTTTTGTGAATTATTTGGCCTCAGGTTTTGCACAGGTTTTATGTGAAATGCATATTGATAAATGGAAAACTAAGTCTGGAAAAAACTGGCATAAATATCACAAAAATGAGGCGCAAAATATTTTATTCTATCAGCAGCAAAATATTAAAACTGGCCACTTAAATTAAAATAACGGTTGAAAGGTATTTTTGATACCTTCACTATAAAAGTGCAACAGAATTATAGATGAATTTAAATCCCTTAAGAATGAACGCCCCTGCTCCCGCGCCCGTGAGGTCCTACCAAAAAGCCAGCCACAAACTTTTTATGATTTGTGTTTGTTCAACGGCACCTTCTTTTATATGTAAGGCGCCGCGTGCTAGAGTCGGCAAAGACCAAAAAGTCGAGTGGTCTGAAAGCGGCCTTACTAATTAGGATTTTAGACATGCCAATCAAAGTGTACAGTAAAGTAGATCATTAAGCACTTATATTTAGTTGGGTAAAATACAAATCCTTATATTTAATTTAACATCTATTAATGTTCAGTCATCTATTCGTTCCAATTAAATGGGGACCACTTGAGAAAATAATTCTTGTATTGCACAAATATATAGTAATTAATGTATCATGGCTGATTTGCACGTTGTTAGTCTTTGTCCAAAATTACAGACATTACTGAAACAATAATAGGAGATTATTACTTTATAAGTTTCTTACATTAGTTAATGATTTCATGTATTGTGCTGTCATTAGTATAAAAAAGATGACACTATTTGCTTTTTTAAATTTTTTTCTCGGTAAATATTAAAGACTAGATTTATTTATTGTACATACGTAGACATTTCTATCAAATATGCAGATAAAAACCAGTAAAAAAATCTTTTTGACTCAGGACGTGCATAGTGTTTCGACATATGGGTAGGTACTACAACATTTTTGAAATAAAAAAATATATATATTTCGTCTAATGATAGCATTACAAAATTGCACATGGTTATACGAGTGTCTGTATATTATCTTCAGCTATTTACAAAATTATGATAGTAACTGTATTTCAGTTACCAGTGCCGTACATATGAGAGCGTCAGTCCTTTCTGTGGAGCGTAATTTATTTGCCTAGGACCATGTTACAGCATAATTTTTAAAATGGAATAATAGTATCAAACTAAAATTTACATACATAAATAAATACAGAAAATTCAACTTCTTTGTCAGAAATTGCTCATTAAAAATCTAAATTTCACTATAACTACCACTGGAACATTTTTTTACTGCATATTTTTAAATTTTGTCGATAACACAAGTTCTTACTTCGATAATATAAATGGTTTTTTAGGAAAGATTAAAAGACTTAACTGGAACATGGGAATATAGGGACCTATAAATATTTAATAGTACCATAATACTATTCTGTTACTTGCATTATTAAATATATCAGGATTAGCAACAAAGTAACACAATATGATAAAGATACGTAATAAAATCAAATAAGATAGACATAAAGGGACAACGACCGACTGCCATACCACATATGCTTCCATTTAATGTATTCATTGCGAATATAAATTAAAACTGACAAACAATATATCACTCGTATGTGCTGTTAATGGCTATTTTAATGACCACAAAATGAGAAAACGCATTTTTTAACGGTAGTTTAGTTTCAAAAAAAGACAAGATCACATATTTTCCACTTAATTTGCGATACGCTGTTTTTGTCCATTTAACCAATTACGGTTAACGTCGTTTATTCCTATTTTTAGTCTAGACTACTGTAGAGACTGTCTAGACAATATCATTACCTAATTAATTTGTTTATCAAACATATGAAAATTTAAATCGTAAAATAATATAAATAATAATAATATCTCTACCCCTTATTCTAACTACGAGAATTAGCCCATAAGTCGGAGACTTGTGCGGGAAAGGAGGCGGCATATTATTATTAGGCAGTCGCGCCCAGGAACGACTTATGTTGGTAGGCCCTAACCACCATTCAGTGCAGGAATGAGGGAAACCTGGAAAACCTCATTAATTAAGTGGGTGGTCAAATGCCAACCGGTGTCAATCTCTCACATTGACCCAAGCCAACATTCTTCCACCCTACCATACCTGCACAGAGGGTGCCAATCCTCCGTACAAGCATGGCTAATCTACGGTCTACCGGTCGCGGGATTCGAAACCCGGGCAGTTCGACACATCGATTTAAGTACTAACGCCTTAAACCGTGCGGCTATCCACCGATTAATAGGTAATAATAATGAATATAAATTAATCTTTCACTATTGGAACTGTTCAGAATATGACAACGAAAATTGTTACAAAATTAAAGGAATAAAAAAGTGATATTTTTCTTAAAGTGATTCCCGATTCTTCAAAAACTTGATATAAATAAAATTTAGTTTTGATCAATTACTCAAGAATAGTTGTACTACAATTCAAGGGAACGGTATTTATAATTTGAAAAAAAATAAATTTTTTCAGTAGCGTCAATATTAAATAGATTCTTTATATACTTTGTAACAAGAAATATTCAACTGGCATGCGATTGACTTGGTATTCGTTGTAGGTTCATCGTCAACAATTTCAAAAAATTTCTTCTTTTGCTTGCATAAGGCATGGTTTATCTCACCTTGCGTGTCTTGCGTGTAATTCTATAGTATCTGAGGCTTATATAAGTTCAACAAATCTTCGCGAGACGGGATGGAACTACATTCTGCCCCTGCAATGTTCTGCTGACGTTCACCGTAGATTAACAATTTATTGTTATTGTCATACTTTCTGTCTAATCATTAACAAAACAATACTAAACTTAGCTTTTAAACACCACTGATACATCTGATAAAACTTCAACTCACAAGTTACAGTGTGTACTTTGCACCCCATCCACAGCTGTTATTTTTGTAGTTGAAAAAAAAGTGTTAAATATAAAAGTTATATAATTTTCCTAAAACGCCAGAATTTCGTAACAGGTTAATCAAAAATAAACCCACAATTATTGTTACTTTTTTTAGAATTTTCCTATGTTGAGGTTGATGTTATATGTTGCTGTGTACAATGCTATTGAATATATATTTATTTCATTAGATTTACAAAATTATAAATATTAAAGCACATAAACTTTGTTGACAAAAAGTCAGTTGTTAGTCCTAACAGACCTAAACTTGCTGTCATTCTGACAAATGATACAGAAAATAGTATAACATTATTGCCAGGAAATAGGTATAAAAATGTGACTTGTTTTAAATTTTTATTGAGAGAATGTAAGTTGCTTGGAAAATGATATAAATCAAGTAGAAAACAATAAAATAAAATAAAATTGAATTTAATTCTTTAAATTAAAACAGAAGGCATCACCTCTAACCTTCAAACTCCATCAGTTAAAATAGTGACACCATTCTTCAATTTAAGTTAGATCTAATATCAAAATTTTGTTCCAGAAGTCAAGTAGTCACAACCAATTAGAGAACCAAAGAAACGTCACGTACAGATCTGCCATGGAAGATATTTTCTCTGACATAGATGATGAGAGTCACAGCAACCATTCGCTAGAAGAGGAGGACCTGGACGACGTATATACCAAATGGTCAACTTGGAGTAGATGCACAGACTGCTTCCAGAGGAGAATGAAAGAGTGCGTTAGTTATGATTGTGAGGGTAGCAGGGTATACGAAGAAAGACCGTGTAAAAAAAGCCGATGCAAGAGGAAATCGAGGCAGAAGAATGGGTTTCATATTGTTCATTTAAACGAGGTAAGTTATTTAAATATAAATTGATTCTTTGAGATGATTCTTTCCATATTACTACTTTGGAATACGCAAAGAAGTTTTTGTAAAGCCCAGTTGAAAATTATTGTCTTGCTTTTCAAAAATATTTTAGATATTTCATTTTTCAGATAATCAGTTCTTTGTCTGTCCATCTCTTTCAGAAAAGTTCACTCATATTAAAAATTGACAGACCTGAAAATTTGATTCATCCAATTTCTCACGCATATAACATAACAATCAACTTTAAAATATATCTGCTTCTTTTTTTAACAATCTACCTATTGAAGTATAGTATCTTGGATGTTCATACAACAAATAAATGTATGAAGGTATTAACTGATAGGTACTGATGGGGATTATAACAAATTAATAAGAAAAACATAAATTCTTGATTTATTACAAAATTTATGACTTTATGTATACTTAGATAAGCGAAATGATATTCTATTAAGAATGTACATCTACATTACGCTACGAATGTATCTAGCTAAAAGCTGAAATATTACTATTGATAACAATATTAAGCTTTAGATTAGATTTCATAAAATATCATAATTCCTAAAAACACGCTCTAGGGTTTTTTAGCCACATTTAAGAACACATCAATTTATTTAATCTTTGATGTACCATTATATAATATATTGTACTATAGGAAGTTGATAAACTCATCGAAATAACATCTGCTTTTAACTCGAATTACATGGGCACAAAAAATGGTCTATACATTTGTTTTGACCCCCATATACTTTATGTATTTTGACGTGCTGGATCTGAATCTGAAGTTCGTTTAGCACAAACACACCCAAAATTTGGAGTAATTGGCAAAAATAGCGAAAAAGTATGTCTGACCTTGATCAAGATCTGTTTCTTATGTATTTTGTTACGCTGACTTCGAGTCTGAAGTGTATTAGTTGTATCCCCCCAGATTTTGCAAAAAACGCAAAAATAGAAAATGTCAATAGGTAAATCATATTAATGAGTGACAAAATTTAAAAAGAGGTTTTCTAGATTTAATCAAGTGTTCTTCTCATAAATTTTGTCGAGTCGAATTTGAATTTAAAGTCTGTTGACCTCATTCCCCAAAAATTTTGCAAAAATCGCAAAATATCGTAAAAATTGGAAATCGTGAATCTCAAAAAAACTTGAATAAATGTAAATACTTCCAAATAAATTCGACTTACTCGAACCAGGCCTTGTTTGATGTTGTTCTTTTCTCTTCGAATGACCTATGCAGCGGGTTTATCTTTCTTTTTTGTCTATTCTGATTCGTTTCTTTCTTTAGTGTCCAACAGAAATCTGCCATCATGTTGATATCCCATCTTCCTTGGTATCGATTTCAATTATATTTTGATAGAATCTTTCTCCTTGTTCTTCATTGTAGTCTCCAAGGTTTTAAGAAAAATAGTGAAGGTGAGAGTGCAGGAAGTGCAATTAAAGATAGATCAAGAAACCTAACCGTTTGAAATATTTCAACATCTCTTCAACCAAATTTCCGTAATCCCCACTCTTCTCATTTCCTAAAAAGTTCCGAGAGAAATTCTTGAAACTCTGCCATGCTGCTTTTTCAGTGTCATTCATCCTTGTAATTAAATTTCGAAAAAGATTACGAATTTGGGGACCATTAAAAATACCTTTTTTCAATTTCGCATAACTTATCGCTGGAAACTTTTCTCGTAAATATTGGAACAGTCATCGTCTTTGTTCAGAGCTGGCAAACTGCTTCATGAAATGAAGAGGTGGTAGTAGAATATTTGAAGGCTCACTCAGTGGTCTATGTATGATGTTCCTCGACTTTGGAGGAAACTCCAGTTGGCCACTATTTCTGAACGTAGTAATTTTACCTATCCCTGCTATCCCATAAACATAAGAAGCAGAGATATTTTGTGAAACCTGATTGCTGGCCCAGGATCATGGTTGAAATTTTCAGATCACCACATACTTTCCATTGATAGTCGGAGTAGTTTATTTTCCCCAACACTATCTGAAATTTCTGATATTTCTCGTTAAGTCTTTTTGAGTTTCGTTTAGTGAGCTATTGGAACAGGCGCATATGTATTCCCGTTATGGAGTAGTACAGCTTTGAGACTTCGTTTTGAAGAATTAATAAAGGGTCTCCACTCTTCGTCCTTTATAGGTAGTCGATTTCAATTCATCAACCAACCATTTTACATCTGAACAGAATACCAATGAATATTTTCGGGTCATTCGATGTCCTCTTGTTCCTATCCATCGATTGGAAAATGTTTCATTTAAAAACGTACGCACAGGTGCACCATAATGCGGGGAGCACCATCTTGTTGGACCACAAGATCTTCGTCAGGGGAGTCTGGTTCCAATGGATTGGGAAATAAAATCACCAATGAGGGAATCAATTCAAATTGGAGAAATTCAAGATATCTCTGTCCAGTTAAACACTGCTCAAAAAAATATGGGCCTTTTACTCTTTCTCTTACTATTAAATACCATTTAGAGAAGATAGGAAACATATTGTTCTTTACTATATTAATATTTCGATTACACAAATTTTGCATTTGTTCACAAAATTCGTTTCGTCTGTCGAAATCGTCTTCAGATAACTCTTGTATTAAAATAACTTTGTATGGATGATATTTGTGCCTTTGAGGTATTCGATGAACAGCAGATTTCGACAAGTATCAATTAGTAGCAATGTGTGACAAGAAAATATGTTAATTTTCTTCCACCAAACCCAACCATACAGAGTATTTTAATTTTTTCTCGTTCATTTAACTTTGCCATTTTTAAAAATCACTTTCAACCGTTTAAAGGTTTAAAGGCTACTAACGAAAGGATAATAATTAAAAAAGCAAATAGGCAAACATCAGAAAAAAATTACCCAAAAAATTAAATTTGTGAAAAAAAATTCAAAACGTGGAAGTACGATCGCCTTAGATATTGTCAAGTAGAGAATGGAGCACATTTTGAAAAATATAATAATCTCAATAAATTTCTTATGTAATCAAATAATGTTTTTAGTGTTTTATTCAGAATCTGAATAGAAAAGTTGGGGTTGTCATTTAAAAAAATTGTCACTGACATCACAACTTCTTCTATAATGTCAGAAAAGACCCGAAAACCATATCAAAACATGGCATTTAATTAAAATCTCTTGACGTGTCTTAGCGATTTTGTGAACAATAATAAGTTTTATTGAATTTATACATTACATTCGGGATGCACTGTATTTCGATAAACCTATAAATACTACTAAAGAAAACGAAACAAATTAATCAAAATAAGCTGCTATCAAATCACTTGCAAATAAAGGAACATCTGTTACCTACCGTTAATTTTTTAATTAATTTTCGTATTACTATTATTATTATTATTATTATTATTCCATTAATTGTTTAGAGACTTGTTGAGTGCCAATAAAAATGTTCAAGGGAAGGTGATTGACATAATGTAACGCCCCTTGAAATATGCATATACTTGGTCACTGCTCTCGATAAATGCAGTGTTAAGTTTCTAACAAATAAACATATAAACGCGATAAAATACAATTCATATCAAGGCAACGTAAACTAATAAAAAACAAAATGTATACAGTTTCTACTTTTTGTTCTTACTTGGTGACGAACGTCTTTGTGAATGTATTTCAGAATTTGACAATTAAGAGTTCGAAAATAATGTACATAGTTGTAATTACACTTTTAGAATAATTTTTTCACCTATGATATAAAATTTTAATACTTTAAATGCTTATTCAAAATGTTTGTCAAAAGATTTTTACCAATGTTGTTTTATTTATCTTTGTAATACAATTGAATAATTTAATAACAATATTTTATGAATACCATAGATTTTTTTAAAAATCCTATAATTTCTAATAATTGACAAATTCTTTTTATTAGTCCAATAAAAATATTTTCTTAATATTGTCTTAAGTATATTTTAAATCAGTTTTCTACGATACGATCTGTGATCTTAAAAAATCAGTTACAATTTAATTCATTAGTTTTCTAATAAATAAATCATACTTTTTTATAGGACAATAGTTACTTAACCAAACAAGCCCCATCCGATATATGGAGCAAATGGTCGAAATGGTCGCCTTGTTCTCAGAACTGTAGGACATACAGGATACGAAAATGCAAGAAACCAGGAAGATGTAATAAACAGATACAGGACGAACAAGCTTATTGTTATCAAGACAGCACAATGTGTCAGATATACGTACTTAATTTAATGGAAAGTGATCGACAAAATCATTATGGTAAAGTAATGTTCATTTTGATACTCTCATTTAGCAATAAATATGTATAGTTAGTTTTTTATCCAAATGTTGTCACTATTCTACAGTAGAATCTTGCGGTTATTGACTAGGACGAAAATTATGTTTTTTAATTACTTTAGCCATCAAATCCTAAAGGTTTTCAATGAGCCTTAAATCTGGGTTTTCTTCAATCCAATTTGGGATTTTGGAAGTGAGTTTAGTTAACCGCCCTTTAACATCCCAACAAATTCCAAAACCTAACAGAAACCTAAGTCCACGTATTTACCCCAAAACGACCACCTCTCATTCCATGCACATATTTTCCATCGTGACGCGATTGGAAAACTTAGTTAAAGAAACAACGTTCCAAAATTCAACGTCCCTATTGGCAAACTAGAGAGCAAAATCGAGCTTGTATTGCTTATCTTGTTGTGTTAAATAGGTATTGCTTATTTGTCAATAATCAGTTTATTAATTAACTTACCTTTAACCGTTTTCGTACTGTTTGAACAGTTCTAAAACAATTCGCATGCTCTATAGCAGTACTTGCAAACTGAAAAGGGTTTTCCCTTATAAAATTATAAATTGCTCATCTAAAGGGGAAGTAGACATTTTTGTGCAACCTGTTCCTGGAGTTCTTTTTAAAGGGAGTTATTGCCTCCACTTTTACTTATTTTATCTATAGATTTTTTCCCAATACTGAACTGAACAATCAGTTTTCATGTAGACCATTCAGTTTCTAACCGTTCAGTATTTCCGGTCTTGTTATTTCGTCAATGTGGGTGTGGGCATGTTGAAAAGCGCATTAACAAAAATATGATAGACATTAAGATTTATATTAATAGTATATTACAGTACTATAATAGAATTACATTACACTATAAATAGTATAATTTTATAATTATAGTATGATATAATTATACGATTTACACATACCTAATGGTTTTTTTATTAAATTTATTTTTCAGACAATGGAAGATACCAGTACAATAACAACAACCAAGACGTCCCCGTGAGGGAACCAAGAAGACACTTTCGTGCTAGAAGATGTGGTGTTCCTAACAGGAGGACCAAAATGTTAAAAATAATTGGCGGCAGTGAAGCCAAAAGGTATAAGTGGCCCTGGCATGTCGCTATACTAAATCAACATATGGTAAGTGATAAGTATATAGTTATGTTTTATAGTTATCGATGGAAACAAAAAAAAAACGGAAAATTTGATGTCCTTTTTATTATTTATTTTTTAATAAAAACAAAAAGAGGTGAAGAGGTTTTTTTAAACTCAAACATTATTAGAACACTGTTTTGTGCAGAATTCGAATATGTATTGTAATATTGCCAAATGTAAATAAATGCGAACCACGAAGTGATCGTGATTGCCTCTACACTTAACAAAGTGCACATATTTGTCAAACTTAAACATGCATATCGATATAGTCGAAGGCATGCATTCGCTTGTTAAATATTCGCCAAAGCTATGCAAACGGCGTACTGTTTGGGTTATTCCGTGTGTCAGGGGTCACTGGTCAGTAAACATAAACACATTAATTCGTCGGTCATTTCAATTAAATATTTCAAAAACCACAATGCTGCGGATTTTAACAAAAGATTCGCATCTGCATCCATTCAAGATTCAGCTAACCCAGGAATTGAAACCAGACAACCATTTAATGCGGTTGATTGGAGAATCAACAAGTGGACGGTGATTGTGCCAAGAAAGTCATCTTTAGCGGTGAGGCGTATTTTTATCTTAGTAGATACGTAAACAAGCAAGACTGTCGAATTTGCGACAGAGACTATACTCGGGTCATTCAAGAACGACCACTGTATATCCAAAGAGTGTGTTGTGGAGATTGGTCTGTTCTGTTTTTAAAATGAGGCTAGAATCACAGTGACTATCAATGGAGAACAATATCATATTTAATGGCAATGTCTATCTATCTGTGTTTTCCTGATATGAAATCCTACATTTCTTTTAGGATACCTTTACTTAATTTCGTTCGTTTTTTTGTATACCAACCATGATGTGTTACAGTTTACTTTGAAACTTTCGTTGAAATATCAATTTTTTTCACTTTTGTATGGATTGATTTTGGAAGAATAAAAAGCAAATTTCGATTTCCTTTAAATTTAGATTAGTTAATTCTTTTTCATGTGAAAATCATAATCCCAGGATTCCACTTACATCGGCAACGAAAAGACTGAACTGTCCTTCAACAAAGACTAAAAAGTCCGCCTTTCCCGATTTTCGATAAAATGTTCATCAATAACTTCTATAAATATTTACATAGTATCTAAGGGTTAGTCATTTTCTACACCTTTGTGGGAACAATTTTTTTATTTTTATAGACACACCGTTGCTTCCATAGGTATATCTAAAAATAAAGTTATCCCTCTAGGAGGATAAAAAGTGGCCACCCTGTATAAATAATTCAACATTTATTTTGACACCATAATCTGGTTTCCCAGCAATTTATTGCTATTTGTAAATGCGTAATATAGATAAAATTAATGTTTGCTATTTGCTTCCTGTAAAAATTATTATTTAATCATTTTAGTTAGTTAAGATACCTTGTAATATTTATTTATTTCTGAAAACTATTTTCACGTGATGAGCCATATGTAACATTAAATTTCGTCCTTGCAATTTTGCATGCCTCTAAAACTCAGGGTCGCTTTTAAATAATTTTACATCAGTAAGCAGACGGTGTGCGTATTTTAAGGGTATTATTTCTTATTCAGAGTTTGTGTGGTCTAAGCCTTGATGATCTTTGCCTTTCAATTAATAGGTATATCTTCTAAATCAAGGAATATAAATTTATCTGATGTTATCTTCCCCCAACATTGACTAGATACTATCATTATTTAACATATTTTTTGATAATGATTCATACTGACCATCAATTTATATCAAAATTTATGTAATGTTATATTTAATACTTAGGTATTTGAAATTGAAAAGATAAGCAGATATTCAAGCTATAATAAATCTATAATACACTGATCCAACAAGTTAACACAGCACAAAAACAATTTTAGGAACTTTTTATTTACTTATGGCTGTTATAAATAAGTTTAAAATTTATACTCTAATTATTTGTATTCACAAAATAGGTATATGCTTTGTGTCAATATAACCATTTAATAAAAAACAAATTTAAAAACCGTAAAGTTGCAAATTTTTTATATGGAAATAAACAATATTTTTCAGTTAATTTAATATCCGGTATTTTCACGTCTGTTTTGGATTGCACACTCCTATCGAAAAATTTCGCTCAAAAAAATTACGTGAATGGCGTTTTGATTCAGTCCAGTTCATTCCGTATTTCATGAAGGAGATGTTTCTAGTTATTGATGATTTTAGACCGATTCAGATGATCTTTTAATTGTCTTTTAATCATATCCCAGACAAGTTCAATGAGACTGACATCTGGATTCGTGCTGGCCAGGCGATAGCATCAATTCCAACTTACCGAAGTGGTTTGTTAATCTATTGAAGCAGTGTACTGTCCGTACGATATTTGTTGAGATAGAATAATTCCAAGAAAAGAATAAGTCTATAAAGTTCTGTTATCAGAAGTATTGTAACAAATTTACCGTGGCAAAGGCGTGCCTTGAAATTTTTCGCCAATGTCTTTCTACCTCGGTTGTCGAATGCAGTTAATTCTATAAAGTTCTGTTATCAGAACTATTGTAACAATTTACCGCGGCAAAGGCGTGCCTTGAAATTTTCCGCCAATGTCTTTCTACCTCGGTTGTCGAATGCAGTTAATTCTATAAAGTTCTGTTATCAGAACTATTGTAACAATTTACCGCGGCAAAGGCGTGCCTTGAAATTTTCCACCAATGTCTTTCTACCTCTGTTGTCGAATGCAGTTAATTCCAAGAAACATCTATAGGAACCTATATCTGTATTATAGGTACTACTATATAGAAATACTAAATTAACGTTTCTTCAAAATTTTATGAGAAAAAGCCAATAATCATGTTTTTTGAGATCATAAACAGCAGTTTTAGAATATACAGGGTGTCCGGAAATTCATGCAACAAAATTTGGTCATAGATTCTTAAGACAAATTTAGGGGACCCGTATTTTTTCTTTTTGCCAACTGGCCCCCTGTTTCGGAGTTACAGCCCCCTGAAGTCTGCCCCTAAAAATAGTCTTTTTCTTATATCTCGGAAACGTCAAAAGTTAAGAATCAGTAGAAATAAGCTGGGGTTATAGACTCTTCTAAGTCATAGGATGTCGTTATTTATCTGTGTTATCTCATCGTGGATCTTTTGCGAGACGACTTTGTGTTAGAAAAATGCAAATTTAACATTACAAGAATTTTTTGATTACTTCAGCTGTGAACGACCATTAAAATATCAGTACAGACGCATTGTAGATGAAGCAGCGATAGCACAGCGGTAAAAACGTCCTGTTGCATTCGTAAGGTCGCTGGTTCAATCCCGGACGAGACCCAAGATTATTTTTTATTTACTGCGGTAATTTAATTTTATACAGGGTGTCCGGAAATTCATGCAACAAAATTTGGTCATAGATTCTTAAGACAAATTTAGGGGACCCGTATTTTTTCTTTTTGTCAACTGGCCCCCTGTTTCGGAGTTACAGCCCCCTGAATTCTGCCCCTAAAAATAGTCTTTTTCTTATATCTCGGAACCCTGTTGTACGAGAATAACTAAATTTGGTGCACAGGGGTTTTATGACATGTGGAATCTGATAGTGCTACGCTTTTCGGCGAGGAACCCCCTTAAGACACTTTTTCATGGGCCCCCTTGTCTTTAGAGCCAAAAAAATTTGGTAGCATATTTTAATTTCTTAAAAATTGTTAGTCCCCTAGAAAGCCACTGAATTGGGAAACTTTTTTGTCACTNAAAAAAGTTTCCCAATTCAGTGGCTTTCTAGGGGACTAACAATTTTTAAGAAATTAAAATATGCTACCAAATTTTTTTGGCTCTAAAGACAAGGGGGCCCATGAAAAAGTGTCTTAAGGGGGTTCCTCGCCGAAAAGCGTAGCACTATCAGATTCCACATGTCATAAAACCCCTGTGCACCAAATTTAGTTATTCTCGTACAACAGGGTTCCGAGATATAAGAAAAAGACTATTTTTAGGGGCAGACTTCAGGGGGCTGTAACTCCGAAACAGGGGGCCAGTTGGCAAAAAGAAAAAATACGGGTCCCCTAAATTTGTCTTAAGAATCTATGACCAAATTTTGTTGCATGAATTTCCGGACACCCTGTAGGTATATCTATTTAACTAATTCGACAACTTCCAGATGTTTTTTAAGCATTTAACCTAGAATTTTTAAAAGCTGGAAATGATCATATAAATGAAGGCGGTGAAAAAATTTAGTAGGTAATAAAGAGTACCACTTTAAAATTAATTTCGTCAATACTTGCCAGAAACTGTTTAACGCGTTTTTTTTATCAACTTATGGGTTTGTAAATTTGTAAGATCTATGATAAAAATATCAAAGGACCAATAACGGAACACTGATTTTAGAAAAGTGGCACATTTTTTATAAACAAATTAGACGTAGGTAATATTTTTATTGTCATATGAAAATAGCTTTTGAACAACTGTTTTGGGCAAATTCAAAAATGAATAATTTAGTATTTCATCTCTAGCAGGAAATTAACATTTTCTAATATAATTTATATTACATTATAATTTTATACTCAGTTTAGTTCTAAATAAATTATTAAAGCAAATTATTTATTAGTTTTTTAGTCGATTGGATAGCAAAATATGCATTCCGTTCAAAATTGTCGATGTCATGATTCCAATATATGTCATGTGAAATATTCTGGCGATTTTATTTTGCTTTTCTAAATAATTATTTCTAAACTTTGGGGGGGGGTTCTATTTCACGAAAAGAAAAAATTAGTTTAGATATCACGGATTTAATTTCCGAGAAAGGTTGAATTGTACGTCGAAATTTTCATTGGTTTAAGAGGTACAGGGCGTTTTTCAATTTGGACTATTTTCTCTAACGCTTTTTAACTCTTTTTGTTAACAACATTTTCCCATAGTTTCCGGTTTTTATATTCAGTATTAAGAAAAAATGTCTTTTTATAAAAAATGTTTTATAATACTTTGATCCTATTCTTGACAAAGGACATCAAGGAAGTATTTTTTGTAACACTCACCACCTCATTGATATAACGCCATTCAATATTTTTCCCTTAGGTCATATATAAATTATTAAGTTTGTCTTTATTTATTTTTCAAAATTCCCCATAGAAAGAACGACATGGAGGCTAAATTAAAGACTTATCGCGGATCATAAAATTATTCCTTCATAAGAAAAAATATTTAAAAAAATGGGGTAATTAGAAAACACGTTTAGTATAGAATTTCTTTCTTAGCAAAATATTTAAAGATTTATATGGTAAATTTAACAGCGCAAAACTATAAATATTTTCGATTTTGAAAATTTGGACGATAGTGTTTCCGGGCATGTTCTTCTCAACTAAAATAATGGCGTCCACCTAATGCTTCCGGTTATACTGGAAGTTGACGTTATCTTCGTTATTTTAAATGGAACACCCTGTATATTATTGCAATTTTGGATTCTACGTCAATTTTTAGGTGAACTTTCATAAAGGTTTGCTATTCTTAAATAATAACCCTGTATATTTCATTTTTTCAATCAAACATAGGTATAACTAAGTTGAAATGGATTATGTTTATGAAACATATAGGATTTTTCCATAAAAATATGGTTTTCTCATGCTGACATGACACATCTCTGTAGCACATAAAATGGTTAAAATTGGGTAAAAAATATATTTTTTTCTAATAAATACAAATATATTGAACAATTTTATACTACATTGCCGCCCTGTATAGATACTTGGAAAATTTTCTGTGAAATAACACAGTATAATCTGTGCAAAATTAATACCATTTTTTTTGCAGGAAGTATTCTGTGGGGGCACCTTAATCGCGCCCAGATGGGTGCTAACCGCAAACCACTGTATTAGAAAATACCTTCGAGTAAGACTGAACGCTCATGATCTCCGAGCTAGGGATGGCAGCGACATAGAGATGACCGTCTCGAAAATGTTTCCCCATCCTAAATTCGACTACAAAACTGTAGATAACGACATTGCCCTTCTAATGTTGCCTAGGCCTGTGAAGACCCAAGTTGCATGCCTACCCAAAAAGAGACCGAAACCCGGACAACTCTGCTCCGTCATGGGATGGGGCAAAATCAACACTGATGACATGTATGGGGTGCCAGTCCTGCATGAGGCTAAGGTAGGTACTTAGTGTCATAATTAGAGGATCAAATCCGTCAAATAAAAAAATAACAAAATTTCTAATATTTTAAATCTGAAATTATATATTGAGTTCTCTGATTGGTATTTGTTTCCTATGTGTATTGTACCTATAGTTTTCCCTTTCATTTCTTTTTTAAATTACGTGCCAGCAAAGAATAAAAGTAAAATTTTCATCTCAATATCTTAAGAAACCGACTTGATACTTAAGTTATTTCTGTACCGAAGTCCAAGAGTTGTATATTAGTGAAATATGCTTCTATACAACAAGCTAGCGAAGCTATAAAATTACATGATTTGGCCAAATAATAATTAATCATAATTTTTATAAGTTCTATACGTAGTTAGAAAAAGAGAGGTATTAACTTAGGAATTATTGCATTTTTATGTAAAATTCACACAGTTGTAGGACAAATTGTGTCAAATTTTAGTATTATATTTTTGTTACAGTTAGATGAATTTTCATGACAATGTCTTTTCTCTGTGGTGATAAAGTTTGGCACTGTTTCGAAAACCAGTTGTCTAATTAATACGAAAGTAGTTACATTTTCTAGAGCAATGAGTTCAAAAAGAGTACCTATATTCATTTTACGTTCATAGGTAGACAGTATTAGATATTCCTTACTGGTGAAATAAATAAAAAAATTGTCCCCTTCCTTATCAATAATTTGGACAAAAAATTATGAAAAGTTGCTTAATAGTTGTGTAAAAATGATATGCTAGTTGAAAGGCAGCAAACCCAATAGTGGAGTAAAATCTGTGCCGAAATATTAATTTAAGTGACCCTGAAGTATAACCAGATGAAACTTATACCATCCTGTAGAGTATGTTTTTAGCTATAAGAAATGGGAGATTACAACTTTTTTTAATTGGGTCGAACTTTTAAAATGGTCCATAAGAATGGCCGAGGAGTCATTCGAAAATTCGTGCGTATTTCCAAACATACAGCGCATTATTTACGGAACGAAATAAGTTATCGATTCGATTTTTTTATACAATGTAGTAAAACTTGTGGGGTTCTTATGGTGTATTTGGAATTATCAAAAAGTCAACGGATTTTTCACAAATTGAGCGTGAAGTTAGAAATAACAAATTCTTGTCTCTATAACTTCAAGATGCGGGAAGGTACGTGAAATATTAAAAAAGTCGCCATATATGTAGTGAATGAAATATAGCCTAATGTTTGTAAAAGTTTTTGAAAAAAAAAAATGAGGTCGTTATCTTTAACGGTTGTAGAGTTATCGAATTTTTAAAGAGCGCTTGATTTGGTGCAACAGCGCAGTGTAGCATTATTTAATTTGAGTAATATAAGAACCGCTCAAGTTTTTACTACAATTGTATAAAAAAATCGAACCGATAACTTATTTCGTTCCGTAAATAATGCGCTGTATATTTGGAAACGCACGAATTTTCGAATGACTCCTCGGCCATTCTTATGGGTCATTATAAAGTTCGGTCCTACTAAAAAAAGTTGTAATCTCCCATTTCTTATTGCTGAAAACATACTCTACAAGATGGTATAAGTTTAATCTGGTTATACTTCAGGGTCCCCTACTTCAAGAACTAAGCGACTTCGAGAAGCGATTTTACTTCACTATAAAGTTTCCGAGATAACTGTATATGTTTTATTTAGGAACAAAAGTTTAACATTTTACTATTAACTCATGATAATATTCTAAAAATAGTCATTTTATTATTAAAATACTTATAGTAAGCAGTTTGCACATTTCTGCACATTTTTGCTAGCTTAAACAATTTTTTCCCCTTAATGTACTTGTTTATTTGTCATATTTTAAATATTAATATTTTTAAATCAAGCTGTTACACCTATCAGTAGGTAATCAATTTCAGAATAATTTGCAGTCAGGTTACAAACTATTTAGAACTGCAAAAGAAACCTCGTTGGAAGACCACAAAATTTCACCAGAACATATACATATGTACCTAATAGTTTTGATGTTAGAAAAATTAAAAATTATTTTAATGAAAGCTTATCAATTAAGTTAGAAGTGGAAGTAGATACATTTTAAGCAATAGAGAATATCAAAAATGAAATAAATTTTCTTTTCTACAAACTGTAACGTCAGGTTATAATGTTCATACTCTTTTTATCTCAAATTGTGTTTTTTGATTTTCAGTCAGTATTTCATTTTTACTCAAAGTTAATCAAGTTTTCACAATATTTGTTCCAAATTGATGACATATTGGTTTTATTGGAATAAGATATAACTATAATGTCCTCTACATAATTAATAAGCAAAAAACTCAGATTTTATTTAAAATTTACGCTCTGACAAATTTTCAACGTGATTGGTCAAATCAATTTTCGAATACTGAAAAACTTCCATTTTTCTTTAAAGTTAACACTACAAATTGCAAACAAAATTTGATTAAAGCATGTTCACTCATTCTGTTTTTTCATCATATTTTTAACGAAATGCCTTTTTTATAGTGACCAATATATTTAGAGATATATGTGTTTCAGCTTCCTGTGGTCCATTCAAAAACCTGCAGGAAATCCTATCGAGAATTTTTAATAAGTGATAACATGTTATGTGCTGGCTGGATGTCTGGCAAATCTGACACTTGTGCCGGAGACAGCGGTGGAGGCCTGATGTGTCCTGCGAAAAGACTGTCGAGAACTGTTTACAGTGTACAAGGGATCACCAGTTTTGGGGATGGCTGTGGAAGGAGGAATAAGTATGGCATTTACACAACAGTATTTAACTATATACAATGGATTCATTACATTATGGACCACTATTCCTAAAAAACGCAGCTTCTGCTTTTGATATTAGCTCTCTTATTTATCAGTGATAAAGTGATATGTTCTTAGAAATCTTTGCATTTTATATTGTATTTAGTTTTGATTAACTTTGTATTCACTCTTGTTAAAGAAAGACCAGTTTAAGAAAATGACATCATGCCTAGGATAATTTAGTGCAGTTTAGTATAATGAGTTTTAAGTCGTGTGACAATAAACGTATAGGTTCCTAGAAAAGTCTCTGTAAATATTTCACATTTTTTATTTATAGGTATACATCGTCCAATAAATGGTAAAAATTTATATTTGCAGTTTTATTTTTATGTAAGAGCTTTAAAAACTGTGTGGTTCTGTTCCAAATAAAATGTACCTATATATTCCATGCACAAATTCAATAGTTGTATATGAACATTGGTATTATCTCATGGCATATATACAGTATGTCCCAACATACTTATGAAGTTCAAATATTTTTTATTAAATCAGTTCTAAACACGTGCATATTTGGAAACTGTTACATGTTTAAAATTGCAAATCCTTTTTATAGTACTTTTGTTTATATTACTAAATTTGTTCTAAGTTAACGTCAGAGAAAGGACAAATTTTCAAAATTTACATGAAAACTTTAAGCATTTAGGCATTCGGATGGTTATTATAATTGGGACAATAATGTTATTTCTGCTTAATTTATTGTAAGCGCTTATTAGTTACAAACATTTCTGTCCTTTTAAGTTTTCTTTACCCTTGTACATAATTTAACTTATTTATTTATTCTTTTTTTATAAAGGGCCAAACATAAAAATGCTTAAAAAAGCTTTTCCGATGATGGTTACCTATTGAAAAATAACACAACAATGAATACGGAATTAAAAATATATGTTTTATAAGGGCTGCATTTTAAAAAATGAAGTTGACGATGGTAAATCGAATATGAAATAGTCAATAAATTCATTTCCATAAGAAAGTATAAAGGCTGTTTTGAAGAAGTGACCTTTCCTCTATCTCTGATAAAAACAGAAAAAATAGATTTCAGTTTTTACAATAACTAAAAAATATATTTGATATATTTATGCTATTTGGACAGTACTATTCACTTTTTGTCAGAATGTAATATTCTGAAATAAACAGTTTATCATGCCAAAACATTTTTTTTAATTCTTTAATCCCATAAATTTACCTTTTGAAAAATTCAATTTGTCTAAGTTGGATTTTTAATATAATCAATATATATTTTTTCGGTATCAGAATGCTGGATAAAGTCATACCATTTCTTATATACCCAGTGTACCGTAAAAAAAGCCGCGAGCTATAATCTGTCATTTTTTGTACAATTTTAAAAAACAAAAGATTGGTAATGATAATAGTTTCCAAAATACCACTTGCATTCAACATGCAGGCAGGCGATTGTCAATTGTTACTTAAATCGAACAATACATATTTTTGTATTTAATCTGATTTTATTGATTTTCTGATACACCGCAGAGTATGACTTTTTTTTCTTAATTTTGTAGAAGCTTAAAGGCAGGAATATACAGGGTGTTTCAGTTCGAGTGAATCAAACTTTAACCACAAATATAACTCAATAAATAATTCAGAATTGCCTTATAAGGCCAGGGTCTAAGTTTCACCGTTTTCACTGTACGAGGCCCTATTGGTCGGTTGTTAAAATCATATTATTTATGAAATCTTTGGTATGCTTATAACAAATTGATTTAAATTTGGTGTGGTGTTGAATGGGAGACCGTTCTTCTGATAAGACTTTCATCAATTTTTTTACAAACACTAACTAATATTTCAAATCTTAAAAATAAAATTACAGTTTCCGATGACAGATAAATGTACATATTATTGTTTAGTTGTTTTTTCATGACAATCGTTAGTACGGATAATGTAATGGAAGCATAATGCAGATTTAAAATTAATATGTAGGTGTAATTTTTAAAGAAATTATATCCGTTTGAAACAAACGGACCGTAGAATGAGCAAGAATACCTATAATTGCTTCAGAATGGCACAAATGAAATTTTAGAGGAGGTGCCATTGAATATGCTGCCCACTGCACTGTAGCACAACAAAAAAATGCGTTTAGAGGGGGGGAATTCACCACATTACGAATGCAATAACTAATACACGAGAGATTATATTTACAATTTATCAGTCTTTCGCCGATGTAAAAACTTAAAGACATATTATTTAATATTGTTTTGAACTCTAAGTTACTGCGTGACATTATAATAATATTAATTTAAAATTTATTTCCTAGCTTTAAGAAACTAAATTTCTTATCGGAACTATTATAGTACATTATTATATTAGTATTATTAGTATTATAGTAATATTATAGAAAGTATAGCAAGTATTCTACTTACCTGATCTGGCACCGTGATTTTTTTTGAAAAGAAAATCGAAGGTGGCGCCGCAAGGCATTGGAAAGGACGAGTACGAAAGGTGTCTCACGCAGTGGAAAAAAACGTATGAACCAGTGTTTTATTATTAATGGAGAGTACTTCGAAGGTGACTAACGTTTGTAACACAAAAAGATAAATTCTGAATTTTTTAAAAATGATGTAGTTATTTATGGGCCCCCCATTGTATAACTATTTTTTATAAAAGCTACATTTCGTCCAACATCCAATTCAGATTATTGAAATTTAATTACCTTGTCATTTAAAAAACAAAACATTATTTAAGATATATTCTTAAGATCACCCTTAAAAGGGCACTATAGCAAACAGGCAACCAGCAATACATTTTTATAGATTTTATTACACAGTTTGTCTCAATATGAATTAATGCACAAATAACAGACTTTACTCCATTCTAACGTAGATTTTCTATAAAATGGAGTTAGTTTGAAACTCAAATTACTTTTTGTTCTAAAGAAATTTGTAATTTGACGCTACATTACAAATTTCTTTACACCAAAAGGTAATTTGAGTTTGAAACCAAGTCCATTTTATAGAAAATCTGCGTTAAAATGGGGGAAAGTCTGTTATTTACGCATTAATTCATATTTAAAGAAACTGTGTAATAAAATCTATAAAAATGTATTGCTGGTTGCCTATTTGCTATAGAGCCCTCTTAACTTATTATTTAAAAAAAATAGTTACTTGTGTTATAGGAATTGAAATAAAAAACCAGATATATAAATATTTGTTTACTTACTTCAAGTACGTGAAAGTAATCACAACTTAGTGATTAACAATATCTAAGTAATATTTACAAAATTAACTGTAATTAAAAATACGATATTAACAGCACAGGACAGGATAGTAAAAATCGAGTCCATGATGACAAAGTAAAATCAAATGAGAAATAATACCTCTGCATTTCGTTAAATGTATAAATAAAATCATAAGTGCAAATAGTTTAGCACTATTGCACAGCAACGTATGATCCCAAATCAGACAATTATAATCAATTACATTATAAATATATACACCAACATTCAAGAACTAGATTACTCATCACACAAAAATTTGATCTTATCAGCTACTACTAGTACTCAAAAAGTAGATCTCCTAGAAGTGATTCCGTCCCGATTGAACTATCATTTCCAGTCGAGAGACTAGTCCAACTTTCCGAATCACTGTCATTATCATCGTCATCATCCCCATTATCATCGTCATTGTTGTCATTATTATCATTGTTGTCGCCATCTAAATAAAATACCACTTGATCTGAAATGTGTGGTAGTTCATTCCTTGACACTTACATACAGAGATGGACCAGGCCAGTAGCACAACAATTTACAGCAGTCTGTACGTTAATTAGGACTGTTCTTATACTTTACTTATTCCTGTTCATCACTGTACGTAAGAGAATTTATAATTCTGAATTAACAATGGATTTTTCAGGGTGTATACCAAATTTTGGAGAAAAAATCATGTTTTTCAGGTAGATTTAAAAAATTTCCTGTTAGCGAGATACAATATACTCTATATTAGGACTGGGACATTTTTTAAATTTTTATTATTTTTGTATTCGAATAGTTTTTTCAATATTTATTCAAATAATCAAATTATTAAATAATTTACATTATTCAAATAATTCAAATATTCCAACAATTATATTATAAAGTTTGGAAATTCTGAATGGCACAACAAATTTATATTATTCAAAAAAAAAGATCTTAATGGATTTATGTCAAGACAAGTTGAGGATACAAATACAGTATGCATGATTGTCATTCATATTAAATATTTATCAGTTCGAATAATAGAATTATTCGAATAATTCAAATTACATTTGCATTTATTCAAATTTATCACTTCTCTACAGAGTGTCCCACCGGGAACTGCATCGATCTATATCTAGGAAAGTACTGCTCCGAAAAATTTAAAAATTTGGCAACACGTTAATGTCCCTGGGGCAAACACAACTAAAATGTCTAGAACTCTCCAGTACTTCTGGTTATACCGGAAGTCGACATCAACTTCGTTATTTTAAATGGGACACCATATGTATTATTATACATATTTTCGTATTCTACGTGTTTGGGGGTCATTTTATTAAATATTCTCTATACCTAGGAGTTATAGAATTTGAAATATATATTTATGGAAAATGTGGCAAAGTAATTTCAAGAACATGTAGAGAATCTGCTGCTTTTTTCCATAAATAACAAACAAATTAAAATAAGCCTCTTAAGTATAATTTAAACAATCCCCAGGCATTTTTATTTAAATTTTCACCAAAAACTATTACAGACATAACAATAATTTGACAACTAACTTGACAAATGTCAAGTAATTTTAATTGTTTTGGAGTGTCATGGTCATGGCCAATTTGACAACAGATCTGATACGAGAAAGTGTCCAAAAAATAGAAAATTGTAAATATCCCTAAAAGTAGTAATGGCAACCATAACAATGGTTATAGACACAGTAAGAAAATACAGGGTGTTCCATTTAAGTTAACAAAGTTATAGCTGTTTGAAGTTATCAAAATGTAACAGCAAAAATGAAACACCTGGTATTAAATTAAATAGTACAATACAAAATCAACAAATATTTCTTTGGTCAAAAATGTGTTTTTATAATTGTAGCCAATTAAAATAATGTAATAAATAATTTTTACGATTTAGGTCTTTTTCTTAGATTTTACATAAAGAATAACATAACCTGTCCTCAACTAACATTTATTTAAATTTTTTTGAAGGAGAGTGGGTTAGTTGTTTAAACACTATTATGTATTTAGGCTGCACTTATTTTGTATTCAAACAAATAAATATTATTGCAAAAATTTCCTTTCCTAAAATTCCGTAAAAAAATTTATCACTTGGTGCCAATTTTTAAGTAGTTGTGATGTGAACTAAATTCGTTTATCACTACAGGAATCCCCAAAAGTTATTAGGCCCAAACGTACCAAATAGACATTCAGTGACGTTTAAGTGAACAAAAATAGTTGTACCACCGTTTCTAAGTAATTTTTCAGTTAAACTGATAGTAATCAATTGTTGGTATTCCTGAAATTGCAAAGAGGAAGCAGAATATATTTTAGCCTCATTTTGGTAGTAAAACATATATATTGTCAAATCGTCAAATGTATAGTAAAATACTACAATTATTTTTGTAAAGGTGTAATTCTGTATGTTATGGCTACTAAAAAAACACTTAAATTTAATAGAAGTACAAATTTCATCCCCAATTCTATCTATCCACTTACACAATAGATTTTGATAATCTCAACTTTGCATGAAACTAGTTAGAAATCCATTTATTGAAATGATTCGTCAAATATTACTTGTTGCATATCTATTGATTTGAATAATGGACAATTTTCATGACAAATACTGCAATTTTGCACTTAATATCATCATAAATTTGACATAGTAAACTGTCAAATCTGTGGAGTAGGTATTTATGTTTATAGGTTATATTTTCTCACTGAACTGATTTGCTCCCTCATAAACGGCAGTTCAAGAAACACTATCCTTAATCCACGTTTGAACTCCTGAACTTGGGTGATATAATAAAAATATCATCTCAAATCAAGGTCAGAACTGAACCTTCATTCGAGGATATGGTATAGTCTTTCCGATCTCAACTGAAGAACCAAGAGGTTGGCAGTATGTACCAGGTTTGGTCGCTGACGCATCAAGCATCAACTCCCATATTTATTTAGTAATACCGGTATACAGGTCTGGTCGCCCAGTTGAAGAATGAGCACGTGAGCAAACGCGGCACAAACACAACCGCACTGGGCGACCTGACTATAAATTCAGTGGTTGACAAATGGCCTAGCAGTACAGTGCAGCAATGCGAAATTTGGTGTGATTCAGGTAATTTTAATTTATTATAGGCACTTTCTATTAATCATTCATATTAGAAATTGTGAAAGAGAGAAATAAGTGGGATATTTTGTTTACTTATTACATGGCATTTTGGAGACCTTTTGAAACGGAACAAATGAAATTTACCATCAATATAAAAAAATTGTTTGACGACATAAATAATTAAAATATGTTGTTGCTCAAATGAACATATAACAGAAATTTTTTATACTTTAGGGACAGCTATGAAACTCATTAAATTTTATTGATAGGCGTTTTTATACATGTTCAACTGACTAGAAAGACTAAACACCAGGCCCTTAAAGATACTGAAAATGTTATATGGACAAATATGTGCAGAATTTAATGCTTAGCCATTGACAAAAAAATTTACCCTTTTTAATATTTACAAATACTAGAAATAGAAATCCTCTTTTCAAAATTTAGTTGTAACTGTTGTGAATTTGAAGTGGACCGTATTTTTCTTGTACAATGTGTTTGAATGAAATAAATGATAGAATGATTTAATTGTTATATTACGGTTTGCTTTTTATAAAGTTTTGGAGTGAACTGCACTCTATAATGTCTGTGTGGTAACTGTCCCTAGATAAGAAATATATACATGGCAAATGTCTGTCAACGCGTGACGCCTCGACTCCCTCACTGTGCTCACCACTCTTACCGCACGTCACTTCGTAACAGTAACTTTTTGTAGACCAACTAAAGAAATTCTTGAGTCATTTTGATGTTATTTTTTATGTTTTTTTTTGAAATATGAAAGCCATATTCAATTTTATTTAAAAAGAAATAATTGTTACCATTATATGTATAAAACAAATCACGTTCAGAGAAAAGTTCAAGAATCTTTTCAAATAACAGTTTCAGCAGATTTTTAAGAAGATATATCCAATTTTTTATGAATATGCCAATGAATAGGAATATTGTTCTTAGTGGTACGTTAAATTCTGCACTTTGTCCATTTNATCCACGTTTGAACTCCTGAACTTGGGTGATATAATAGAAATATCATCTTAAACCAAGGTCAGAACATTCGAGGATATGGTATAGTCTTTCCGATCTCAATTGAAGAACCAAGAGGTTGGCAGCATGTACCAGGTTCGGTCACTGACGCAGCAACTCGGCATTGAAATATTTGAAAAAACTTGTTCCCATATTTATTTAGCAATACCCATATACAGGTCTGGTCGCCTAGTTGAAGAATGAGCATGCGGACAAACGCGGCACAATCACAGCCGCACTGAGTGACCTGGCCATAAATTCAGTAGTTGACAAATGGCCTAGCAGTGCAGTGCAGCAATACGGAATTTGGCGTGATTCAGGTAATTTTAATTTATTATAGGCACCTTCTATCAATCATTCATATTACAATTAATTACGAAAGGGAGAAATGTGGGATATTCTGTTTACTAATATTATTACAACATGGCATTTTGGAGACCTTTTGAAACGGAACAAAATGAAATTTACCATCAATATAAAAAAATGTTTTGATGACAAATAATTAATTATGTTGTTGCTCAAATGAACATATAATAGAAATTATATACAAATTATTATAATTTTTTACCTTTAGCAGAAAATTTTTTTAGGGACGTCTATGAAACTCATTTAAATTTTATTGCTAGGCGTTTTTATGCATGTTCAACTGACCTCGGAAAAACGAAGATACTGAAAATGTTATACGGACAAAGTAGAGCAGAATTTAATGCTTAGCCCCTTTTTAATAATTAGAAATAGAAATCGCTCTTTTTAAAATTTAGTTGTAACTTTTTATAGACCAACTGAAGAAATTCTTGAGTCATTTTGATGTTATTTTTTATATTCCTCTCACAGGCATAGTTAGGTTCTTTTTTTGAAATATGAAAGCCATATTCGATTTTATTTAAAAAGAAATAATTATTACCATTATACATAGTGTCCCGAAGTTAAATCAACAAAATTTGGTTATAGATTCTTCTCTCTGTTGTACGAGTCACTAAATTTGGTACACAAGGGTTTTATGAGATGTGGAATCTGACAGTGCTACGCTTTTTGATAGGGAACCCTCTTAAGATACTTTTTCATGGGCCCCCTTGTCTTTGGAACCTAAAAAATTTGTTCGCAAATTCGAATTTCTTAAAAATTATTATTTAGCTAGAAAGCCATTGAATTTAGAAACTTTTTTGTCTCCATATTTTTTCGTAAAACGCAATGTTTTTGGGGAAAATGACGAATCACGATATGCATTCGATCACATTTTGACATTTTTCTCAAAAACATTGCGTTTTACGAAATAAATATCAAGAGACAAAAAAGTTTCTAAATTTAATGGCTTTCTAGCGGACCAATAATTTTTAAGAAATTTAAATATGCCACTATATTTGTTTGGCTCCAAAGACGAGGGGACCACGAAAAATTATCTTAAAGGGGTTCCCCGCCAAAAAGCGTAGCACCATCAGATTCCACGTCATAAAACCCCCGTGTACTAAATCTAGTGATTCGCGTACAACAGGGTTCTGAGATATAAAAAAAAGATCATTCTTAGGGGCTGATTTCAAGGAGCTGTAACTCCGAAAGAGGGGGCCACTTTGCAAGAGTAAAAAATACGGGTCCCTTAAATTTGACTTAAGAATCTGTGATCAAATTTTGTTGCATTAATTTCGGGACATCCTGTATAAAACAAATCACATTTTAAGAGAAAGGTTAAAAAATATTTTCAAATAATTGTTTCAGCAAATTTTTAAGAAGATATATCCAATTTTTTTATGAATATGCCAATGAATAGGAATATTACTTGTTCGTTATGGTACGTTAAATTCTGCACTTTGTCCATTTAAGCTTCTTGAGCTTAAGTTTCCAAGATCTCTACCATGTAACAATAATTAAATTTGTTACAATAAGGATTTAAAAAAAAGAAAATGGGAAATTAATTGCATAAACTATTTTTTCATGACAGGCGACCAACGAAGTTACGAAACAGGTGGTAGACTGTAGCTGTCAAATTATTATTAGTAGAAAATTTACTTTTCAGCAAGATCCTTGTAAATAAAGACTGATTAATTGGAATTTGAAAAAATTCCATAAAAATTTAAGAAATCCCCTGACATTTCCAGTTTTCCATATTGGTATACACCCCGATTATTTCACTTTTACATTAATGAAAGTGACATTTTCATCATTAAATAAAAATTATATTTTTATTAATATTATTCGCTCTGTGCATCTCCATACATCCTGGAATTAAATTTTTTTGGTCCTTCGAGCAGGATCATAATAAATGGTCCTTCGAGCAGGATCATATAAAGTGGCCCTTCGAGCAGAATCATAAAAAATAGTTGGCATAACCATATAATACAATACTGCGCATAGCGAATAATTTCTACCATCCTGAAGAACTAAAAACAAAATATATGCATTTCTTAAACTCACCATCATTGTCGGAATTGTCATCATCACTTCCACCCATATCGTCATCTTCTTCCTCTTCGTCCTAATAAAAAAAACAATTTATTTCAAAAAAATTAAGTCAAACATACTTGTACCGTTCTAGCCAGTATTCCAACATTCTTGATTAAATCATGCTCAAAAATTTAGTTAGCACTGAAGACAACAAATATAGACTACGGCTCATTTAAGAAACAATTTATTTATGATAAAATAAATCAACAAACATCACAATCAATTAATAAGTAAGAAATATATAACTATAAAAGCAATACTAGAGACGATAATAAATTTAAAATATCACAAGATTCGTGAGCAACGTCTACGCTAAAGGAACAATTTTGTACCTGTTCGTCTTCATCATCTCTTCTTCTTCCCACGTCGTACAAACGAACTACCGATTCCTGAACGGAATTGTACATGCCCTGATTTTCCACGATGGCGATTTGGGTGTCGTAACGGTTAGTGGCCAAGTCGTAAATACTTTTTTTAACATCAAATGTTGCTAAAATTTGGTTATTTACATAAGTTACTGAAAATAGGAAATATCGTCAAAAATGACTTACTTATACTAGAATAGTCAATAGCATCCACAGTCTTGAAGCTTGAATCGAAGGTGGAGTCTCCGTCATCCATTTCTTGCTCCATAGAGATGGCATATATCGCGGTGTTTACAGGAGAAAATATCACGGAACACTGATTGAGTACCGGAACGGTCTTTAGGAGATGGAATGTTCTGATGTCCCACACTTCGGTATTCGATACTATCTAAAAAAAAAACACGAGAAATCTTGTTAATACAAAAGTCTATCAAATTTTAACGGGTAAATACTAACCTCTAAGCCGTTAGGATGGAAGACTCCACTCTGTGTTTGGTTCAACTTGTCTAGTTTGTGTATCTGCTTCCCGGAGCTGACGTCGAACAAAACACCGTCGGAAAGTACCAACTCATCGTTATAACTGAAAGTCGCCTTATTTTTTGTATACTGGTTGCTGTTGGAAGGGGTCAGTCGGCTGATTGAATTCCCAGTGTTTGCATCGTATATCTAAAAAAAATCAGTCACAAACACTTCGATCGGAAGTAAATAATTTATTCAACTTACAGTGGCTATCTCCCCCTTAGTGCCCAGTATTTTGTCCTGCGCTACTTTATTGAACTCCACGTATTCTTCGTCGTTAAAAGGGATTCTGAAATATAATTTGCAATAAGTCTATCCGAATACCACCTAGTGGAGGTAACTTACTTCATTTCGTAAGTTTTCATATTCCACAAGGCCGAAACCGGTTTACCCCACGTGCAACTGGTAAGCATAAATTCTCCTGTTCTATTTGGTTCAACATGGACAATGTAATTGTCGTGGGCAGAGAACATGTGGATTTCGTTGCCTGTGTGTAAGCTGAACAGGTGGATTTCTCCGTTGTAATCCCCTACCACTATTGAGTGATCGCCAGGCTAAAAATATGAATAATTGAGAATCTACAAATGTATTTCACCCTGTACAAATTCAATTTAGTTTTTGGTTCTGTTAAGTAAAAAATTAAAAAGCTTTTATCGGTATGTTGAATAAAATTGAAGCATCTTCAGAAATGGCAGCGGCTGGATGGGAAAAAAGGTAATGTTAAAAAACTTACCATGAATTTGGCGCAGGTGAAAAATCCCTCATCAGTTGTCGATCTGATTGTCTGAACAGGACAAAACCTGGAATGTACGAATCTCCTGTCCAAAGTTTTCGATTGATAGCCAATGGACCTTCTGGCACATCTAATTGCAAAGTTATTTGCAGTTGTTATTCTTGGTTTTGGGTCAGGGCATTTGTGCGGTCTAAAGAAAAATAACAAAATTACACTCCGGTCCCAAAATAGTAGGCAGTAGAGTCATAAATAAATCAAACCACATTTTTTACTACTTCTTAACACGATAAAGTAATTTATAGTGTACCGATACATTTATCAGAGACCATCTCCATAATTGCTTATAATGTACAAGAAGTGTTTTTTTTTAATCCCACCCCGTCTGTCTTCAGCTGAGATGTGTCAGTGAGTGCCATAAGAATACAAGTGGGAAAAAACCTGTTATTATTTTCACATTTTACTGATTCCAATAAGTGTTGCTAAAAATGAAATCGTATGCGAGTGTTATTGACCAAACTGATAATCGGAGTACTCGTAAACGACTGAATTTAACAGACCAAGAACGTACGAAGCATTGTTCACAAGTGTAATTCAAGCATGAAACACAGATACATCAGTGAGTGTGAAAAGTGTTTTTCAAAGGTGTTTATCATGAGTTAAAAAGTAGTAAAAAACACGTAGCAGAAAAAAAATTAAAACTAGTAATTATGGTAAATATGTGATCCATAGGAAGATTGACAGATTTTATTATAAAACCGATTAAAGATTTAAAGTCCCGTCACCTGAAAACGAAGATGTGTCTAGATTATTCTGAAAAGTTTTATTGTTTACTATACATAAAATAAATTCTTTTTACTTAAAGATCATATAAAGTGGCCCTTCGAGCAGAATCATAAAAAATAGTTGGCATAACCATATAATGCAATACTGCGCATAGCGAATAATTTCTACCATCTTGAAGAACTAAAAACAAAATATAGGCATTTCTTAAACTCACCATCATTGTCGGAATTGTCATCATCGCTTCCACCCATATCGTCATCTTCTTCCTCTTCGTCCTAATAAAAAAAACAATCTGCTGTCGTTGACTAACTTAACCTCCATATGCGTGATAGCGGCAACGCCGCGGTTCTCGACGTAGCGTATTATTTGAAATTCGCAGGTGTGACATATGATGTATATTTCAAGCTTAAGCATCCAAACAGAATGATCGAATGCAAGCGAGCGAATGCTGAGCCGAGCGCGCCAGTCAAGTGCAACGTTGTCAAATCTAAAGCCTTACTACATTAGTCACTAGCGAATCTACAGAAACTCTCATTTGATTTTAGACGTACCCGATAAACCTCCTTAAAAGAAAATCGAAAAAATATGTTAATAGAAAGAAGTACAAAACTGTAGCATGGCAACGAGAGTATATTATAAAAATTATTGTTTCTACAAAACATGAATAATTGAATGACATATGGCCCCAAGGTATCGCAAGATTCAAAGACAACAGCAGAGAAGCATTTTTAGAAAATTTTTCTGATATTAAAGGCATCCACTGAGAAGGACAACAATTAATAATTATCAAAAATAAATGTAGATTTTTGTATAATGGTTTACATCTATTTCGTTTTAAATCAAACCTGGTGCAGTTATTGTCATAGACGATGTGCCTTATCACAACCGACAAATAGAACAATTGCCAACAACATGGTGAAAAGGGGGAATGATTAAATGGTTCATTGGAACACGATTTGAATAAAAAAAACGCAATATTAGAAGTACAATTATTATTAGCTAGGTGTTTGCATTAAAAGAATGTGTAGTGTAGTGAAAGAAAATTAATATGAAAGGTATAAGCAATTTCATTAAGAACCCCTTACATAGATTTTTATTAATTTTATTTGAATCCAAAAATTTTTATGCAATTCGTATACCGTTGTTATTAACTTATGGTGTACTAGACCAGCAGTCGGCAACTGACGGACTGCGGTCCAGGTTCGGACAGTTGGAAGGTAAAAAACTGAACCGTCAAAAATTTTTTGAAAGTATAAATTACTCAAATAAATTATTTAAAAAATATTTTTCTGTAGATAACAATGCATTTGAATGTGACCCTTATAATTTTTCCTTGTATTTTACAATTACATGACTGATTTCGAGTTCTTTGTGTGTGATCTTATTGCAATACAACAATGTTCGTTGGTGAAGTAAAGGTCAAGTGATTGAACGTTTTTGCAAATAAAAGACGAAGTAACCTCCTTCTTAGACAACTTGGATGCACAAGAAGCAAGGAAGTATTTGGAGTTCCTATCAAACTAACTCAATATGCTAGCTGTGGCTTTCCTGAAAGACATTCTGAAACATTTAAATGCACTCAATACGAACCTAAATGAAAATAGGAAATTAATACCTATGTGATCTGATACAGTGTGTCTTCTTTCCGTCGCAAGCTGGATATCTTTGAGATAGACATTGCAAGTCAAGAGTTTATTAACTTTTCAACAAATCTTGAATAAAAAAAATAATTCTAAGACAGACATTGCAGTATTTTCACATTTTATGTCAGATCTTATGGAGGAATTTGCAGCAAGATTCCAAGACTTCGCAGAGATAGAGATGTCACCATCTTATGACGTTTCTCCTGTGACAGAATGGACTGATGTGGCTGTGAAGTTGTTTTGCCATTCAAAGCCTTTACTCCAGATGGAGATAATAGACTTGCAGGAAGACATTTCCTTACAAACGTACAGAACTGCATTCACCGCAGAATTTTCGAGTAAACATATCCCAGAAAAATATGGAAATTGCAAAAAATTTGCCATTTACTATGTTTAGCTCCACATATGTTTTGTAAAACTTCATATTCAAAGATGAATTTTCTGAAGAACCAACATCGCTCAAGATTAGACACTCTTAGCATATGCTGCTCCCCGCGTGAACCTAACTTTTAAAAAAGTAGCTCAAGACCGCAATTTTTTTTTTAATTTTTACATTATTTCACTTTATAATATTTGAAAATGTGGCAAACACCCCATTGGCAAAAAAAACAATTACATGAAATATCATCCTTGCGCCTTCAAAACGCGACGAGTATTTTATCAAATTGTTCAGTGGAGTTAAAAACTTTTTCTTGGCCTTTTTTATTTAAGAATTACAATAATTATTTTTAATTTTACTGCGGACGGTCAGAAAATAATATGGCTGTTTTTTAACCAGATTAGGCGATTTGATGTTGTTTATTGAATTCTGCATTTAATGCGTTTTGCGCTGAAAATGTGCACGTTGCATTTTGAAGGCGCAACGACGATATGTAGTGGATGAAATGGCCAAAGCTCACAGTGTTACAGTTCTTTGATTACCACCATGACACTGTAACCTAAACCCCATTGAATTAATTTTTCAGTGATAATACGTCTAGTGGTTGGACTGATTTTGTGTCACCCCGCTGTTGTAACACTACGTAAGCAGATTTTTCCAGTTCCAGTTAACAAAAGTGCTGGCTACGTCCCATAATAAAATAAGAAGAAAAAACCGTGGTGAATATATATTTTGGACATACTACAACACTGTTTACTATTTTTGTTACAGGAGTGTAGGCGTTATGTAAATTAGAGTAAAATTAACACTTACATGAATAGGTTAAATTGGGGACAAGTTGCCATTGGATTCTTACAGAGAGCGTGTTGGTTGGTTAGATATTCAGTAATAATAGAGTCCAAGGTAACTCTAGGCTGCTCCACTGATGAAGAAATATCTTCAGGCAACCACACGTGAGGCTCGCAACTGATCTGCTTTTGGAGGCGAGAATTCGGAACGGGTGTAACCGCTATGTTTTGATTTTTCCTAAGGAAAAAAAATTAATGCTCACGGATTCTAATGAATTAGATAGAAGCGCTTACTTTATAATTTTGATGGTAGCTGGAGATGTCCCCGTGGCACCGTTCACTACCGCGCTAGAAGTACTTTCAGTCGAATTCATGGAAGGCAGAGCACGGTGAATGTTTGGCGAAGAGAATGACAGTCTGATCTGCAGAAACAAACTGTAATATTTTGCAAACAACACGTTCATCGTTACTCACTCTAGTTGGTGTTAACGTAGAAGAATATCTGAATTTGGTAGGATGTTGGGCACTTACTGAGGTGATTGCATTACTCAAATTTGCTTCTTTAACCAACATCCCGGCAGTGTCCGTGTAGCCCTTCTGAACTAAATGCTGGTGGATCAGCTGCAGCAACTGCCTGTCGTTGAACAAAATTTTTGTCTGTGCCACCACATTAGCCTATAAGAAAAACATAAATGTTTTTTCAATTTTTCAAGTTAGCTAGTTACAAGTTGGAAAAATATAATTCCTACTTCTAAATGTGGCATATAAATGAAAAAAATATTGTTTCCAGTTCTAAGTGAGAAATACAACTCGCAAGTTAGGAGTTCTGAAATAAATGTCAGAAAAACGTCACTTCGAGCTTTGTTTTTAGGACAGAATAGGCTAATATCGCAGTATGCAGAGTATGAGAGTGAGAACTTCAAATTTCGCCTATGTTTTGAGTATCCCGCATAATTCCTTAAGAGAATGCTGCATGGAGCAGTTCCCGCATTAGACGAATTATACGAATTGGATGCACTACTTGTAACAAAAGCCTGGACTCGTGACAGTTTATCTGTTAGTTCTCGGAACGGATGGGCCAACTCAGGCAGTATAATATTTCAGTCAACAATAATTATTGAAAATTTAAGGATTTTCAAGTGGGTTTGGCATCGTCATAAAAGTCGTCTCTTGTCTTCGGCAGTAATAAATTTGCAAAGCTTGGCCAGCCATCCTTCGGAGAAGGCCTAATGAAATTTAGCAAATGATTTTGGATAAGTTGACCTAGACCGTCAGGGCCATGTGTTGGGCATCTCGTATCGACTAACCGGCACACAGTAGGATTTTTTAGTATATTTATGGACAAAATTCTTGTTACAAAAGAATTTTCATCCAATCGTAGTAAATTTCTTTTTAAATACTGGTAGACATCTGTACTTTAAACAGGAATTGCGGAAATTTCGATATTCTTAAGACCTAAATTATGGCAAGCCATCTTATGCCTATTCACGCGATTCACGTATTTGAACTCTGCGCATATTTTTTAACAAAAAGCTCTAGGCTTTGAAATTCCCTTCGAATCATAGCAGTTTTTTTTAAATAATTTTATAAATATCCACTTTTGCTACGATTTAATAATGGGTTCAAGGGATTTTTGATAAATTCTCAAAGTGCTAATTCGTTAAACTTCATTGAACGATATAGATAAGTTGAAAAATATACCAAACAAATTAAAAATGGGTTTGGACGGGCTTGAGTCATACTTTCAGATGGTATATAGATTTTAGAATAATTGGTTAATTTAAAATGTAATATAATTTTAAAGTTATCGAAAAACAATGGTTTTCGTCCTTTTAGCTTAGGATATCTCAAATCCTGATATCATGAAACAATTTTGAAGAGATTCGGATTCGCACTAAAAACTTTCGTAAAAGTGCTGTCTGGTTTCTGTATTCTACGATTTTTTAATTTTCGTCAATCTCTGTAAACGTATATTTTTAATAATCTTGGATCCTAGAGCTTTTTGTCTAAAAGTATGCACAGAGTTCAAATACGTCAATTGCGTGATTAGGCATAAAATGACTTGCCATAATTTAGGGCTTAAGAATGTCAAAATTTCCGCAATTCCTGTTTAAAGTGCAGATGTTTACGAGTATTTAAACAAAAAATTTGCTACGACTGCATGAAATTTGTGGATCCCCGAGCTTTTTGTCCAAAAATATGTGCAGAGTTGAAATACGTAAATTGCGTGGTTAGGCATAAAATATCTTGCCAAAAAATTAGGACTTAAGAATATCCAAATTTCCGCAATTCCTGCTTAAAGTACAGATGCTCACGAGTATTTTAAAAAAAAATTTGCTACGATTGGATGAAAATTCTTTTGTAACAAGAATTTTGTCCGTAAATATACCAAAAAAATTAAAACTGTGCGGCGTCGGTTTAGCCCATGGTTAAGGGAAAAAATCAGCATTTCTAATAACGCACAAAATACATTCCAAAAGGCGTAAGAATTCCAAGATATTTAAATAAATTATTAGAATGTTATGAAGAAAATAATAATAGATGAAATAGCTGGTTTTTAGGCGGATTTTCCAAGCTGGAAAAATAGATTAAACGAAGTTGACTAATCCGCCCTGTGTTGCTATACGGAGTCGTGAGAGGAAGGTGTAGGGTTACTTGTAAGTTCAGTTAGTCACAGAATGATTCATACAAATGTAAATCTAGGTTATTAGGTAACTATTAATATGGTATAGTTAAGTCATTTCAATCCCCGATATTCAGGAATCCCACCAGTATGATAAGAACTGAAACTTCTGTACCCAAGAAGTGCGTATGTCTTAGTGAGGTGTCGAATTCGGAAGAGATCTCCGAAGAAGACAGTTCTTCCTTAGATTCCACACTGGCCAGTCTACTTAGTTTTTAGAGTCTCAGGTTAATTTAATGATAGATAAAGTCTTTCCAAATGAGTTCGTGTCGAGTTCCCTGAACCTCAGATTGCGTTGTTGTGTGTAAATGAATTAATAATGTTTGTTTGAATCTGTTGTGTTTTCGTTATTTTATTTGTTTTGTTTGGGTTAAAAAACATTACTTTTCACAGAATTTTTTTGGGGGCTTTAAATTGGGTATAGGACCCTCATACTTGGCTCAAGAAAACTTCATGTTATGTAGAACCATCACCATATTTCATCAAAATCGGTTAGATAGATTTTACATAATAATTTTGCAATCCAATTTTGAAAAAATAATTTGCAAATTTTCAAAATTTTGCACAGCAAAAACCAAGGCCCTTAGGTACTTGAAAATTTAATTACATATAGAAGGGCTTTCAAGCTTTCCAACACTTTTTGAAAAATTCGAATCTGTCAATTAGGAGAGCTCTGGCGTTTGTTTATATATTGGTCGAATTTTTGTACTTATAAACAATTAGAATAACTGTGAATATTCAACCCAATCAAATTTTTTAAAATAGGTTTTAAAAGTTCTTGGAAAAATGCTTCTTTTAAAAAAAAACAGATCTTGAGATATTTGAAAGCTAAAAAGCCAAAAATCTCTTTGGATATACGATTCACCCAAATATGGACTTTTTGAAACACTAACTGGACTAACCATACAAATTCCATTTTGATTTCAGTAAAAATTAAAAATTTACACCTTATCGTAAACCAATAACTTAATAAATTAAATGTAAATAAATGAAGCAGTGATATATTCGGCCATGCTTGTTTTGCCAAAGTGGGCTGTTCATGCCCTGTTGTCATTTCACATCAGGTGGATTGATATTATGTAGTTCACCTCAATCAGTTAATATCAGATGTCAATAAAACTAAGATTCACAATACAATACCAAATACAATGTTTTTAAAAATAGTGACAAATCCTTTTTATAAAAAAATTTTTTAATGCATATTGCTTATATCAAAAAATATTCTTACCCTGTGAATATTAACCAGCGATGCTTCCAATTCATTACCAGTGTGGTTTCCCCTCCCAGAGAGCAATTCCAACAATTCCAAAGCATATTTTTGGAACAGTACATGCTCCTGTCTCTTCTCTTGGAGAATCGGGTCTCTCATCAAGTCTAAAAATATACATTTTTTTTAATATAAATTGTATTATTTTTCTTACACTGAGCTAACTTACTTTGCAGTTGCCCACTGGTAAACAAAGGCAATTTGGAAACAATTTGTCTCACAGTCTCAGATCTAGCCAAACCTGCCAAGGCTTTACATGCCAGGGTCCTTATACAGTCAGCGTCCGTTATGGGCGTCTTGACCTGCATCAACTGCAACAACACCATTATGCCACTATTGGACCTAACGCAATCCCAGACCTTTTGTATCAGTTCTTCCGAACTCTTAAATTTTAACTTTTTGTTCGGAGAATTTGTCGCGTTTTGAGAAAATCGCGCCATACTGCCGCCGACCTAAACAGAAATAAAAACAGGAAGTAATTTTCGAAGAAAGTTATACGCAATTCTAACGCATACCCTATTGATGGGGGCACAAACGCAATTTCCGATAACTCGAAGAGCCGACTTTTGCACGTCTGCATCGGCTACTATTTCCCCTTCGGCGGCACCTAATATTATGTTCAGACCTGGAAAAAATGTCCATTTAAAAATAGATTTATTCCAAGTTAACTCTATTTTTTTAAAAAATGAATGTTACGCCTGTTGGCAATAGGTTGAGAATGTTCACAGAGCCACTCGTTAAATGTGTCTTTCACACTCATATTTATTTAGTAATACATTTTGTTAAGGACAAATCCAGCATAAACACGCAAAAAGTGTTAAATAAGATTGTGATGCAAAAATGTAACAATGGTAACTTTTTTTTGCACTTAAGCACATACAAGCTGTGGATATCCCCATTAAGATCACATCCAAATAAATAATCCTGTATAAATATTATAACCAAATAGGATTACTTACCAACAGTTAGAGTTTCTTCTGGCAGGTCTACTCTGTCGCAAAACAGTAACTGCACCTTAGGCATAACACAAGCAATCGCCAGCACATCTAAAGCACTTCTAACGGTTTCGGCTCTCCCGCTATAGTTCCACTCATAAGCAAAAGCGATAATCTTTAGCAGCAAAGTAATGCCACCGAGTTTCAAAAGATGATCGACGGGAACCCAGTGGCTCCTAAACGGCATATTCTGAAATAACATATCGATTTGTTGCTGGATTTCCTCCGGTGATGACTTGCAAGCCTGAAATAAAAAAAAAAAAGGAGTAAGAATAACCATTTCAAAATGTTATCAACAAGGGAATATACCTTGTATGAAGGCTGAGAAGGCAGAGCCGGGGCTAGCCGTTCATTTGGCCTTAACTGTGACCGCCTTATCAACTCTACTTTGGCGTTCAAGTGTGCTTCCAAATAACGACGGTAAGCCACACATACATGTCTCACGATCTGACGTGCCGCCCCTTCTTGATCCTCGTTCAGTTGTCCGGTGTCATTGTCAGGTAAAAGTATGGGTAAAGTAGCAATCTGCAAACAGATAATTTTTATAGAGTATAAAGGAAATCTTAAAAAGTTTGGCGTTCATTACTTGTAGTTGGGACTAAAAAATAATGTGATAAAAAAAAGGAGGTTTCATTTTATGTAACACATTAATATTAAAATAAAGCACATTACATAATAATTGACAAAATGCATTAAAAAAAAAATTAAATTGGCTTAAACTTAAGTTTGTAACTAAAAATAAACATGTGTGGAAGAATAATGTTAAACTTTAACAATATCTTAGTAGAAAAAAATGAAAATTAATTTTTTTTCCTCTCATATTAAACATTATAGTGTTAAGATTATTGTGTTGGAAGTAGTTTCCATTTATTTCGAAACTTTAAAGATTATATGTAGTGATAATTTTTACATAAAAATATAGGAAAATAAAAAAAATATATCGCAGAGGCAGATATACTAGGAAGCAAAAAAAATTAAATTTTAACATGTAACAGGAAAAACATGATTGATTTTGAATTCTTCGCCTCAAAGAACTTCCGATCCTCAAAATTTGAGTAATTTTGAAAAGGTTGTTTAAAAATAATGGAATCAAATTTTTCACTTTGGTGACCTCTAAATCATACATCAGTGTGTAGAATCTACTGTTGCTCCATGTACCATTACTTATGGGACACCCTGTATACATTAATCCGGCGCTATGTCATCCATCCACTATTAATAGTAAAACCAAATCACTTTGAGAAAAAAAATGTTACCTGGACTTTTGTAAGTGGAAATGGTAAAAGGGCTTATAATAAACCTAAAAAAAATAAATGCGTGAGCAGGGATGGCAGAGGGTTGATTTGGGGTGTTGAAAAGTTGTGAAAAATTGTATCATTGGGATTTCTGGCGAAAGTTGATGTCAAACAAAAAAGTATCCAATGCAAAAGTTGTAAATCATGCAAAAATTTACAACTTTTGTAGAGGTCACTTTTTAAGATAACCTCAAAATTTCTGAGAAAAATGCGAAACAGGTTTTTTTCTGATTTTTCGTTTTTTATTTCTTATTTCCGCAAAAATAACTTTATTTTGACGAAGCTTGGTAAAAGTATACCTTTCTGTCTTAAATAACCACATTTTTTTTAGATAAAAAAATCAAGAAGTTTCCGAGATATTCATTTTTCCGGTCTAAAACATATTTTTTACAAAGAAAAATTCCACTTAGGAAAATCATCGTAGAGTTCAGCTGGTGATCGTTTTTTTCGTTTTGACATGCTTTATGGTGAAACAAAAAAATCTGTAATCAGTTCAAAAACATGCTCAAAAATGTAAAAAAAATAAAAAATTACTTACAACAATGAATTTTTCAGTAATTGTTGCTAATTTGTTTAAAAATTTAAACAAATTATCAACAATTACTGAAAAATTCATTGTTGCAAGCCATTTTTTATTTTTTTGAGCATGTTTTTGTACCAGCAGAACTGTACGATGATTTTTCTAAATAGAATTTTTCTTTGAAAAGAAGTGTTTCAAACCGGAAAAATGAATATCTTGGAAACTTCTTGATTTTTTTATCTAAACAAATTTGTGGTTATTTAAGACACATAAATGTATACTTTCACCAAGTTTCATTAAAACTAAATTATTTTTGCGGAAATGAGAAATAAAAAACGAAAAATCAGAAAAGTGTTTTTCGCATTTTTCTCGGAAACTTTGAGGTTATCTTAAAAAGTGACCTCTACAAAAGTTGTAGATTTTTGCATGATCTACAACTTTTGTATTGGATACTGTTTTGTTTGACGTCAACTTTCGCCAGAAATTCCAATGACACAATTTTTCAAAACTATTCAACCACCCAAATCAACTCTCCGCCACCCTGCTCTAGCATTTATTTTTTTTTTTTTCAAATATTATAAGCCCCTTTACCATTTTCACACTTATAAAAGTCCAGGAAACAATTTTCTTTTTTTTCCCTTTAAATGAGTTATTTTGATCGGTTATAAAAGGTAATTTTATAAATATATTCGTGTCTTAGTGATAAACAGAAAACCTCGTTATAAAATCTCAAGAAAGCAAAATTGTCGGTTATTTAGAGACATCTGCTATTCATAGGCTTTACTGTGGTAGCACCCCTAATTCTGTTTTAAACTTACCACGTTATGAAGCTTTCGCAAGCCATCTTGGGCATCAAACTCTTCTAAAATAACCTTGAACTGAAAAGTCAGTCCAAAGAACATTATAGCATGGCATCGACCTGAATCGTGGGAACATTCTAAAAGCCATAAAGCATATCTGCAATGGGAAATAAACTTAAAATATATCGAACAATAAAACATCAAGAAACTTACTTAACCAAGTTACTGATGATAAATTTAGGTAGTAAACATACTCTCTCCATGGCTTCTTCACAGTAACCCAAGTAGTATAAGCATATAGATACACCTGTCGCTGCTATAGAGGGTCTAGGCACTTCTAATAACGTCTAAAAAAATTAATTTAATTGCAGGTTCATATTGTGTCATTAATTTCATGAGAAATTACCTAATCGGAGTATAGAAATTATGAACAGAACATTTTACTTCTTCCCACGGATAAAATAAAATAAAAAATACATTTTTTTGAAGGGAGAGCACAGAGATTTGCGGTGCATATCCATAACAATTTCTTTAGAACTTTTAGGATTTATTGTCCAAGGATGTACAGGAATTTGAAAGTATGTACAGGATTTATACAGGATGGTACTGAGGATTTACCGGGGTGTACTTGAATGGTTGTATGAGCATTGTGTATTGTATTAGTTTCTTGTTGCTTCTTGAAGATAAGCACCGGAATAATGAAATTTGGAAATCGGTTTTATTAAACTTTAGTCAGGCTGAGTGTTTAGGATAATTGCTTAAATTTTTTCGTATACAAAAATTTCAGCAGTTTGAATACATCCTCTCCTATGATTTTGATAGAAAATATGTGAAACACAATTTGTAACTAACCGGTCCATAATTAATTGATAATAACTTATTTGACAAGATATAAAAACTCTCAAAACTAATTATTAAAAATATAAAGGAGGAGAGCCCCTAAGGCCGGTTTTTGGCCTAATTTATTTTTGGCTGAAAAAATCTGAACAATTTTTTTTTTGTACCTACTAGCAATACTGAATTGTTTCCACCCTAAACGGACCAACCCCCTCACCCTCCTTTCCCCCTCCACCCCTTAAGTGCCAGGGAAACCATCGCTTATTAGTGGAATCTTTAAAGAGCTTACAGATGTACAAGACATTCAATTCCTATGAATCTTGCATATGAAGAGTATTTTGGGTCGCTGATCACGAATCTGGTCTCAGAATCACGAAATTCAAAATGGCGGAACCAATATGGCGGACAAGAAAATTGAAATATCTTCAAAATACATAAATTTTTTTGTAATGGGGTTTTTTGGGTCTATGATTACGAATCTGGACTCGAAATCACGAAATTCAAAATGGCAGACAAAAAATTAAAATGTCTAAAATGCATGAATTTTTGTGTAGTGGGGTTTTTTGGATCTCTGATTACGAATCTGAAGGCAGAATTATGAAATTCAAAATGACGTATTCCATATGGCGGACAAAAAAATTAAAAATCCTCAAGTATTTGTTTACAGAAACTTTCTTGGATCACTGATTACAATTGTAAATTCAGAAAATTCAAAGTGGCACAAAGATGTATGTATAATTATTGATTTTTTCTTTTTCGTTTTATTCAATGTAAATGCGTGTCTCTCATTTAAAAGGGTGGAGGGGGAAAGGAGGATGAGGGGGTTGGTCCGTTTAGGGTGGAAACGATTCAGTATTACTAGTAGGTACTAAAAAAAATTTTTTCTGATTTTTTCAGACAAAAACAAACTAGGCCAAAGATCGGCCTTAGAGACCCTCCTCCTTTGTAATAGGAAAATGTTACAATCTATAAGCAGAATACAATATATGCACAGTCAAATAAAAAATGTATTTGTATCTGATTTTTCACAACTAATAAATTTTCACACAGTATTTACCAATAGTTACCCAATGTATTACTAGAAATTAGTGAAAACTTATATTTTTAACCCTTAAGTACTAATGTGTTGGATATATGAGATTGTCACTATCCCTACGTCTCACAGACGGCTATAAGTATTATGCATATATTATGCCTAAATTTACGAAATTAATAGTGACGACTTGTTATTTGTATTCGTACATCTGGAAATTTGTTGCTTTTGTTGAAAATTCAACTAATAATACAAGCTTTTAAAAAATTATAATCTTGGACAAAGCTCGAAATTTTCTGCAATTTAACATTGACATCTATAAATGCCAAAAGTTAGACAAAAACACTAGTATTTTGAAAATGTAAATTTTATATAGTACACAGTAATCATAAAACTAAATATCTGTGAAAGAAATAAAGGAAAAAAGCGCAAAATTAAAAAAATAACAATTGCTCGTTTACACTAACGGCATGTCCGAGAGACGGCTACTCTTATTTGATTCCAAATATTTCATAAACTAAACAATTCACGGTCACCGTTCTTGGGATACTGATTCAATATTAAATGGAGGGGTTATTTCGCCTATAGTGTGTTGCAGTCCCGTCTCTGAGACGTACTATTAGCAGTTAAGGGTTAAGAATATATTTGTATTTTTACTCTAAAAAGTATACGTATACCTATACAATCGCCACAGGGGTTAACGTATAAACTGTCCTCAAAGCTCAAAGCTGAGATTCGTATTCATTTGTAATAATGGGTTAGAATACAACAGATACATACTCATAAAGCATGGAAAGGAAAGAGAAAGAACATAAAGGTGGGGATATTGTCATGAGGAAACTGTCCGATATCAATAGTCAATTGTAGTCATATCTCTTTATTATGTGCAGTATCACTTTCAACTGTAATAATGTTTATATTAAGCATTTAAGCAGTTAAGTTCAGTGGCCATTCTAGTGTCTTGTATACTACAAGTTAATATCGTAAAACATAAAACACACCACAGAAATGAGACAGCCCCCAAAGCGACTACCGGCGACTACACTTGAAAAAACACGGACAAACATTATCAATCGACATTGCCAGTGCCGATGCCAGGTATCGAACCCGGATCAGTATAGGTAATCTGACCCAGCTGACCCAGAAATTCTTGCCCACTTTTTTTTTTCAATGCATACACATCAACAAATTGTATATTCTCCCTACGACAAGAGAACAAAGAGAGCATTTTCAACTATAAAAAGGACAAACATTTTTCTTTAATTTGCGTATTTCAAGACTGAAGAAAAATTTGTAAAATTGTACTAAGGAATTACTAGGATGTATTGAGATTTACAAGGATGTAGTAAAATTTATTAAGGATTTCCTATAATTTAAGGAGGAATTATGGGAAGTATTTAAATAAAGGATGTAAGTGTCCATTTTTTACCAATTTGTTCCCCCTCGTATTTTATTTTTAACTGAAAATAATAAAACTTTACTACTTACTTCTAGTCCTTTACAATGGATGAACTCGATTGAAAATTTCTTGTGGCATAACAATGCGGCAAGATATTTAAGTGCCTCAAATGCTAACCTAGCTTCTTTAGTCAATCTCACGTTAACGTAGCACAAAATTAACTCCAGCGCATCGTTCTCAAAAACGTGGCTTAAAAATTCTTGGTATTCGCCCATCGGTGTTAGGTACCTTAATATCAAAATTTGTCTTGTGGCTATAGTTGGTGGGAAAATTTGGACGGTACCTATCATGAAACTTTCTAGTTCAGCCCAAGAAGAATTGCTGGTTTCTGATAAGACGCCCCCCTTTTGCGGGCTCATGTCGCCGAGGAATATCGGAGGGGGGTTATTGTCTAGTTTTAATTTTTTCCTTCTTGGACATTGTTCCAAGTCATATGACTAAAATTATACAATAGAAAAGATTTTAGTAGATAAAAATTGTAGAAAAAAATAACAGATGTTTGCCACAGATTCTTTGAGCAAACATAAATGAGGAGTTGATTTTCAAAAAGCAGATTTTGAAACATAACACATTTTGAGATAATTACGTAATAATCATATGTGAAAAATTGTTGGTGATATAAAGATAATAATAATTAAGTGTACCTATATTAATCACCTGACAATAGAAAATATTTTTTGTAGTATTTTGTTTAAAACTTTTTTGAATACGACAAATTGAGTTTTGAACAATCAAAATCGAAAACTGCGTTTTGAAAATCAACTCCTCAAATTTAGGCACCTTTTTGAAGATTTAAGGTGTCAAAATTATAATAAACAAAACATTTTTATTTCGTCAAACTATTTCTTGTCATAAATCTGGACGAATCCATTATTCCAGATACAGATGATTTACGGTAGGATTTTTAAGCAGATTGCTGTAATGGCATGCATCTTGCTATTATTTAAGTAGCTTTCTGTAAAACTATTATATATTTTCTATTGTGCGCATTTATGTAATATATATTCAAACTATTTTCCTGTAAAAGGTCTAAATACTGAAATATAGCCAGATTTCATCAAAATGTAGAAAAAGACAATATTATCTTTGAAACAAAAGTGCAAAATAAGAAAACTTATTCAATGAACTTCTTAACAAAACACTTTGAGTCGAAATGAACTAAATAAAATAAAATTTGTAGTCTTTCCGATATCAATTAAAGAACCAACAGCAACTCGGCATTGAAATATTTGAAAAACTTGTTCTCATATTTATTTAGCCATACCCATACCCATATACAGGTCTGGTTGAGGCGTGGAGGCGATAGAAATGTATACGCTCAGTTGAAGAATGCAAGCACGGGCAAAGGAAAACGATCACAGTTGCATTGGGCTACTGCGCAATAAATCACAGCAGATGACAAGTGGTTGATAAATTGCCCAGCAGGGCAGTGCAGCAGTGCGGAATTGGGTGTAATTTAGGTAATTTAAATTTATTATAGGCACCTTCTATCAATCATTCATATTACAATTGCGAAAGGGAGAAATAAGAGAGATATTTTGTTTACTAATATTATCACAACATGGCATTTTGGAGACCTTTTGAAACGGAACAAAACAAAATTTACCACCAATATAATAAAATTGTTTGAGGACGTTAATAATTAAAATATGTTGTTGGCCAAATGAACATATAATAGAAATTTTCTACACATTATATACAAATTATTATAATTTTTTACCTTTAGCAGAAAATTTTTTTAGGAACGCCTATTAAACTCATTAAAGTTTATTACCAGACTTTTTGCATGTTCAACTGACTTCGAAAAGACTATAACAGAATTTTTTAGTATTCCTAAAAATCAACTTGTTCGAAATATGAAATATATTACGCTTAATTTGTATACATTTTTAAAATACTTCTGAAGAATGTACTATCAGGGGAAATGAACACAAAAAAATTAAAATTTGTAATTGACTTCTTTAGTATTCCTAAAAATTAACTTGTTTCACTTTACGAGAAGTTACAAAATATCTCATAAACAATGCCCTAAATCAAAATTATACAAAATGAAAAAAAAAATATAAATAAAAAGACAAATAATTCATTCAAAAAACAATAAACTCATAGGCTTGCATACAAAAAGTAGGGAGGCCAACTCATACCACATTTATGCTTTGATTTTTTTTATCAAAAAATGTATCGACATGGCATAAGTCTACAAAATTTCAATGTATTATCTCAAAACCCAATAGTTATTAACTTTGTCATAAAAAAAAATCTATTTCTATTAAAATAACTTGTACATCCTGTACAGTAGCGAATTCTTTCCTTGAAAATTTTCAGATTAAAACCAAAAATTAAAGCTGTTGATTGGTTGAATTAAAAAATTTGAGGTGGGTTTTTAAATTCAGCCAACCAATTGCTTTGATTTCACATTATAAAGTCAGCTATAAACATACATAACATAACCTATATCTACTAAGTATTCATATGCTTACCTCAGAATTTTCAGATCTAGATGGAGTAGACACCTGACCATCTAGAGAGACTTTTCTCTTCTTTTGCACTTTTGCATCTATTTCACGGTTCTATAATAAAAAAATATAAATTAAACTGCTTTTTATAAGTATCTGCAATTTCCTTACCTCCACATTTTCAGGTTTCGATGAAGTTTGTTCACCTTCACTCTCTGTCGAATTCGAAATTCCATTTTCACGAACTGAACACAAATAAACATAAGAATTTTAAACTAATACTTTTTGCTTACCTACCCCATTTGTATATAGGTGATGGTGTCTTAATAATATTATCACCTCTGTATGGCGGAGACCTCATAGATGATAAATGGGCAAACGGTCTAATTAAATTGGCTGTGGTGTGCTGTGCAAATTCAGAGGAACATTTCAATCTACGTAACCTCTGTAATAACAAAGGCACCAATTTACTATTATGTTCTCTAAATCTTGTTGCAATTTCGGGTATTTCCATAGCTGCGGCAAGAAGTCCAGTAGCATAGCTTTGCAAGGGTTCGATTGAATTCATGACCCACTTAATTAAACGATGGATTAAACTATCCATATCAGGCTAAAATATAATATTTATATTAGTATTATTATATATGTTGAATGAAAATAAATTACCTGAAAAACCACCGATGTTTCTAAACCTGGCATTACATCAAGCATCAAACGACATGCGGCAATGTTTAGTTGATTGACATCTCTTCCTGTTACACCACTACGACTGTAATAGCTGTCTCTTAAATAATCATTTACAAGCTAAAAACAAAATGTCCAATATTGCATCATGTTGTTACGCATTATTAGTACAGTAATTTATCATGTTCTTTTTCACACAGTTATGTTGTAGTATGTATTTTACCTTGTTCATACAGTTTACCTTGTTCATAAAGTTGTCTTTCCTAAACAATGCTTTTAATATTTGTCCCAGTTTACATTCTGGATCCGTTCGAGAAGGATGCCGTTCATCAAAAGGATCCGGATCCATTTTTAGATAGTTTTCAGTTTCTACCTCAATAATTTCAGCTAACCTAAATAGGAATAGTTTTAGATATATCAATAGCAAAGAATTAAACTAAAAGGGGTATTACCTCGTAAGTGTTGGTACCGGATCATAATTCGCTTGTGTATGTTCATCTTCCCAAGCGCGAATTAAGTTAGTTAGTTCAGTCATAACCGAAGTATTATTACTATTTTCTGCCATGTTTAACACTTTAATTTACACTACAACAGCATGAGGAAAATTAACCTAACCAAACTTCTTAATATTAAAACCAGAATATACAATTTTTGTTCAAACAGATACTATCACACTCAGGCAAAGCGTATTTAATAACTAAAGCTTTCACGAACTCTTTAAAACTAAAATTAAGTTTTTTGCTAGTTAAATTAATGAGAAAACATAATTCGTTATCAAATAACTACTCTCCGCCATTAATATCACTCTCCCCTCTCCAACAATGCTCTAATCTCTAATACAGTAATACCAATTTCCACACCATAGAATTAACTATTTGAAATGACAATCTAATATTACCAAAAGAATAGAATAATTTAGCAATAGGTCTGTTCCAAGAGGAGACAGGAATTGGTTCCGAACCGTTGGAAATCTGTATCCAACTAATTCTTGCGATATATTCATGTGCTGAAGACACATTTAGAGTAGTGATGGGCATAATCGACCAATTTTGACAATCGAGTTATCGGTAATCGAGTACTTCTAATAATCGAGTGATCACTCGAGATACGATGATATTGGTTGTTTTCATCCCAGCGGCGCACAAATATGTTTGTGTATTAGTAATATATTACTTATAAGCGTAGCTAAAAAAAAAGCTCACACACTTCAAAACCTAACCACTTTTTCGTTTTATTCTAAAAAAGGTTACGCAATCAGTGACTATTTGCAATATGCACTAACATTTTGGGGTGCAACCGTAGGGTAATAATCACTCGAGTGGTGGGAGTAAACATCTCGAGATATCTCGAGTGATCTCAAAAATCGAGTACCACTCGATTTTTCACTCGAAATCCCCCATCACTAATTTAGAACTTAACTGGCCAAACATTTGGAACGATTCGGAACCAATCCCTGACTCTTGTTAGAACAGACCTATTATTAGTATTATTATTTTTTTTTTTTGTTACTAAACTTTAAATAATAATTCTGTTATAAACTAAAGAACTAATAATAGTGGTTAATATACAGGTACTATAATAATTCTAACCTCACATTGTGTGAAAAACAGTTTGCAAGTATAAATTATTTTATACACGATGATATATGTGTAAGGAAGCAAGGGAAAACAACTAAGAACAATTTAGAATTAAGATGTTTTGGCTTACTGGAACACAAAAGACAATCAGAATTTATCCTCCGTTTGCCATTTCCATTACCTACGAAATATAGCATAAGCCCTGTTTTATTTATTACCATGTTGTCGAGTTTTTTGATCTGAAGTGCCTAATATTTGAGAATTTTGGGGTGATTCAGCAACGTGAGCTCGCCGCGAAGACGACGAAGCAGAGCTTCGAGCCCCACGTCGAGCGCCATGTCGTGAATTATGATCTGAATTATTGGTTTACCTGACCTGGAAAATTTAAATAAATTTAAAAGTACGCCGTCGCATTGACGTGCGTACTATTGCTTCGAACCACCCGTAGGTAGTAAAGAAAATGCCTCGTAGGGGTTTGACGAGGAAGGTTGCCTCGACGAGTGACCGCCTAGAGGTTTGATGAGGAAAGTTGTCTCGGATTTGCAGATCTCAATAGAGTCTGATGATAGGACTCGTGGGGCCTATGTGTGTACCCTGTAGCGAGGTGCGGGTCTCTAGATGAAGCCGGCACAATCGGAGACAGGGTCTTCGTCGGAGGTTCTCAGCCTCGGACGGTATGCAGGTTTCTGGTCTGTGGAGGAGCCTGAAATTTATCGCTGTTTGATGCAGGGGGCTATCGAACAGGATCTTCGCCTCAGGTTGGGCTACCTCGGACGGTACGCAGGTCTCTGATGGAGGATCCTGGGGAATCGCTGTGTCAATGCAGGAGGCTATCACATAGGATCTTCGTCGGAGGTGGTCAGTTTCGGACGGTATATCGCAGGTCTCAGAAAGGATCCTGGAATTTACCGCTGTTTCGATGCAGGGGGCTATCGAACAGGGTCTTCACCTCAGGCTAGGCTACCTAGGGCGGTATGTCTCGTGATGCGAGTAGTGGTTGCTAAGCACTATAAATGGCCACGTCAAGGAATGGCAGCCTTGACGGGGAGCCTCGTTAAGCGAGTCTGTGAGCTTGAGCTCCAAAGTTCTTGAGTTTAATGACAGGGTTTTTTCAAGCAAACCGTGGAAGATATGTTAAGAGTTTTATTGAATAGAATTAACAGACAAGTATTCTTATTAACATATATATCCCGGGGTTCGTCTGCAGGTTGCGAGAGAGTCGCTGCAGTGAATACTGAGCGCAGATAAGGCAGACCCAGGCGAGATCGGTCGCGATGCGGGTGACATTGGAAACATCGGTGAAACTGAAATTGGTCTTAGACTTTGGAAGCGCTATCGGGAGAATCGATGTATGTTATGGGGCGACGTCCGCACTGAGATGCAGACTCGCGGAGATTGCTCTCGGACGGTATCGAGTTCGATGTCTGAAATGATACCGTGGAGGCTTTTTTGATTTGCCCGGCCGACGGCGATTAGTTTTGCAACCGTGGCGGGTTTTCGGTTTGAATTGGAAAGGTAGGCGAATTTGAGTGTTTCCTTCCCAATTCAGCGGTCTCAGGCATATCCGTAGGTACAAGATGGCGTCTAGGAAATATACTGAGTCTTCTGAACTCTTGAAGCTCGCTCGAAGGGTGGAATACGACACTGAGATCTCAGCTAATCTCCGTTATTCTGAAAACTGATTAGTCAATTAGGTGAAGCGACATCTCAAACATAAAACACGGGTGTCATATTTGATGGAAAGAAACGATTATTGGAACATATTGGCCTTGCTGCTGTCATATACGAAGAGATCCAGAATTATTGAAGCGGTTGGGAGTTTGGGGAACGCATGCTTATTATTTCTAACATCATCTTTAGTATATAAACATCTGTAGTATTAACAGACACAGGCAGAAGCTGTGATCTCCAAACACAAACACTTCAATCATTCTGGATGTCTCTGTAATCTGTATTATATATCTATTTTATATTACAGTGACTATAGATGTCTATATGTAAGTAACTACATTTCCTAGGTAAATGGAAACGGGTAAGGTTTATAAATTGGCCTTTAGAAAGGAAAAGATATACTCTTTTGGTCTTTTGTCGGAATGTTAAGTTCTTTGGAATAGTATTTTTGAAGGATCAAAATTGAAAACTGTAATTTTTAATCCAATGTTGGCTAACCTGTGTTTTGAAATTTCTAGTTCGGCCGTGTTCTTCTATTCCTCGTTTTAATGAGATGAATTCCATCATTGTATAAGTAAATTTACTTATATGTACAATGATTCCATCGATGTATTACGATTGGTCTGTTTAAAAAACTCTGATCTCTTACTAGCTCTACGAAATCCATCACATCGAAATGATGAATAATAGAACACGACCTTCAATTTGGAGTAGTTAGAACACTAAACACCAGTAACTCCACAGAACCAACAGTAACTAGAATATCGTGTTTTGACTGTGACTGTTTTGTCAATAAATATATAACGCATTTTTGTATAATCGTGCGGTGCTTTTACTTGAAATTATTACAACTGAAACGTTTAACTTTAATTTAAAGAATGAGTGGTGACGACGACATGACCGAACAATTTGATAATTTGTTTTTATCAATTGCTCAGCATCATCCGCAAGGTGCTTCACAGGTAATTATGTTTTTAATTCTAACCTCAAATTATTGTAAATATAATAAAGAAAGTTATTAATGATTGTATTTTCAGCTATTGGACACGTTTGTTAATTTTCTAGGCCGAAAAACCGATTTCTTCATTGGTGGTGAAGAAGGTGCTTGGGAAAAGGTAAATGGTTTACAATTTTTTAAGATTTGTTTTTTATTCCATCATTTTGAAACAATAATTAGGTATATCTAATGTTAAGTAATAATTTTTAGCTGGTTATGAGTACTTTTAAAAAATATGAAAAAATCAGTAGAGATCATCACGAAACTGAATTAAAAGGAAAACGTGAGAAAGAAGCCCGTTTGAAAGCTGCAGCTGCTAAAAAGGCTGAGCAGGAGACCATAAAATCTGCAGAGATAACAGAACTAACAGATGCTGAAGCAGAAAAGCTTCAAGCTGAGATAGATGCTAATAAAAGCTCACAACCAGCTCAGCCTGCTCCTACAACAGAGACAATAGAAGATGATGAGGATGAATCTGAAAAAGGAAAGTTGAAGCCTAACCAAGGGAATGGATGTGATTTGGACAAGTACAGATGGACACAAACATTAGGAGATATTGAGGTAAGTTTTTTAATTTTATTTTTTCCAGCATGCCCAAAAATGTATTGCAATTTTGTATTTTTTTGAATAATTTAATGAATCTTAAAATAAGTGAAAAATAAAATAGGTTGAAATGGGATAAAGACTACTTAATTTGCATCATAAATTTAGCAGGTCGCTTCCTACTAGTAGTAGCCATATGAATGGTGTAGTTGGGAAGTAGTGCGATAGATGGAGCCATTTACGCTCTGTGTATATCAGAAAAAGAAGCTCTTTAAAGAAATATCTGTCAGTGCTTAAATTTCAGGATACAGGCCTGACATTTATAAATAATTTACATTTGCAAAAATGCTTCTAAAGATATTTGAAATCTCTAAACATGTTTGATGTAGAATGGCGACAATTGGGCTATAGATTGATCTAATGGAAGGTAAAAATCTAGTAAATTCAGATACAATGATACAAATACTAATGACTAAATATTAGAGATGGGCAATACGGATCTTTTTAATGATCCGCATGATGTGAAATGTATCAACATAAAGATCCGCATATGGGAATCGTATTCAGTGCGGATGTACAGGTACAGTTTGTACTTGTACATTTTGTAAATGTGTGCGCTTGTCGCCCACTCATTCCCATTCATATATTGTATCTCATATCACACTCCCTGTCACGTATATTTTCTAATTAAATTACAATATAAGAAATAACTATCGCATTACTTGTTTCATATTCTGTTTTTACAAAGTACAGCAGCAGTAATAGCACAAATTGCTTTTGTGTTTTATTTATTTATTTATAAATTAATTTAAGGCGAGGTAATTATCTGTCAATATACCAGGGCAAGATTTGCAAATTTTTTGCAATCATCTATAATTTATTTTTTTAGCAGAACCATGAACTTCAGCAGAAACTATGCAATAATATATTTGAACTCAAGTTGAGAAAGCATCAAATTATTTTCAAGTGAAATTAATTATTGTTTAAATTTATTTTCGGTCAAACAATTCAACATTTAAATACGAGATACACATCACTCTGACAATACGAAATACACATCACTCTGACAATTACTTTTTACATTATAAGTTTGTTTCAGACTACACAATTTCATATAATTTATTTCAATATTTAGTTTCCTATGCACTAAACTGTTTCTAATGCATCGTATCTCATCGACCTGTATCGGACACGAGAATCAGTTGAGACCGATTCATTCCCAATTCGCATTGATGTGGTGATGCGAACATACGAAATTATTCTTATACCGTTATATGTATGAACTGATTCCCAGTATGTGTGCGCCTCCCACCTACTCATTCCTGTATCGGATACGAGAATCAGTTGATACCGATTCACTTCACTTCAGTCTCAACTCACATTGATGCGGTGATGCGAAACATATGAAATTATTTTTGCATCGGGATCCGCATGAATCGATTCCCACTAGAGATCCGTATGATTTATATGTATGATGTGGATCTTGCCCACCACTACTAAATATGTCTTAATGTAGCTTTTAACCTATTATTATTTGATTACTTAATTTACCATTCTTATATTTTTACAATGGACTATTATAGCCATGGTTAAGTAATTAATTGGTTGAAAAGGCATATTAAATTACAGATTGACTCTTTTTATTATTAAAACTTTGCAACAATCTATATGCTAGCAAATACATTATAAGGATATAAATGTAACTTAATTCTTCTAAATTCAAAAGTATCAATACTTATTTATATGTTAATTTATTTAATTGTAACTATATTTTCAGCTCATTCGTCTCATTTTGTATGCTACATTTCTTAAAAATCTTTGTTCAGTTCAACCATTTTATGTGCTGTTAAAAGTTTAGCAGCAGCAAATTTTTTCTTTCTTTTTTTGGGTTTTGAGGAAAAAGAAAACAAATTTTAAATATATCAAATTTAATTTGTAACAAATTTACAAAAAATTCCTGTAGTGGGGACCACAGAAATCATAAAAATACATAAATACTATACATAATGATTGTTTACATATCACAGTACATATAAAATTAAAATAATTACAAATAGTCTTAACACTAAGAACAACCTCAATTTTGGTCCAATTTGTATTGATTGCCTTAATTATAATAAGCTAATTAAATAAATTTATAAATAATATTTCCTATTTAGGGTATAGTTAATGCCTCCTGTGGTACATTTAGTTGTATTCCTATAATTAACAACGATCAGTACCTTTGGTTTTTGGCTCTCACTGGAAAAAAAAAGAAATTTTATTAATCACCATATATTAACGAAGTCTCACAATCTTGTTCTTTTTTTAATTTTTAAGAAAGAATTATTTTTCACAAATGTAAGGTAGGTACATGTGCCATTAATTGTCAGGTGCAGAAAAATATTTTGAAAATGATCTGTCGGACACGTACAAATGTACAAATTCTTACCTTTTATATTTTATCGACACAGATTTATATCATCAAATTATATAAGTTTTGGTTCAGGTAGAATTATTTTATTGAAACATCATATTTTGTATCAGTGATTATCATAAGAAATTTCAGATTATATGAGGAATCATCACATTACTTTACAATTCGCATTGAACGAAACTAAAACAATAATTTAAAACTCATTTAATGAATGCAAGAAAATATTTCTGTAATTCTAGAAAACTGTACACATCTTTCATCTATGCACCACATGAACTAATATATTTTCTTTAGTTACAATCTTCACATATTTTCATCTGTTTTCATTATTTTATTGTTTTAAATTCTTTAATAACTATTTTTTGTTTGTCCTCTCCCTCTCTTTTTCACTGTCTTCTTTCTAATGGGTTGTAAGTACTTTTTAAATTTTAGCTTGCTCCTTTGAATAATGTTGTTTTTCTTTCAATATTGCTTTAATTTTAAATTTTGAGGATAATTTTAGGAAAATAAAGTGGATATTTAAGGGCAAAGGAAACTCTTCATCTTGTAACGTTTTGAAACCATTAATTTTAAATGAACCAATGGTCAAACCTCTTAGGTCCAGTAACATCCAATAATTCGTAATATCACTGGTAGGAGATAATTTTTTTGATCATCAAAATGAATTTTATATTTTTATTGAAGTTTACGATATGGTCACAAAAATTCAGACTAGCATTCTCATTAGAAGTTTTGGTAACACATTATGTTATAAGAAAACTGCTGTGTCACTGATGATTAATGCTACATGTGCCTTATGTTTTGTAATACGTTATTTAAAACTGTATTTTTTTTTTAACAATTAAGAATATTAAGTAAAATTGTATCGAAATTAAAAAAATATATTTTTGATGCTTTGGTACTTACTTTCTAATAGAAAAATTGCAGTCAGTATTCCTATTGTGAATAAGGCAGACATAGAAAGGACTAAAATGGTTAACTGGTGTTTTCTACAGAAACTTCTCTGTGGAGGTTTCTGCCTCGTGTTCACATTGACGACTGTGAAATGCATGGAACTCGCTATCGATACGTTGTCAGGTTCTGGCTTCTTTGTATTAATCGTTGGTAGTACTAGGAGATCATCATTGCCTGTCTGTTGGAGGTAGTATTGTATGTTTTGGTTTCTTGTGCTAATTGCATCTTCGCTTGCTGACTCTTGATGATGGATCTGAGCCAAATTTGCAGCTGTGAGTAACAGCGACCCTGATTTTGCACTCTGTAAATAATATGTCTCGTTAATCACCTGAGCATTTTGAAGCAAATTCTCAAAATATGAATTAAGTTGCAGCGGTTGTATTGTCAGAAATTTATTCAATGACTTAAGCCAAACTTACATATTTGGATAGAGCACTTCCTTAATATAACGATGACATGATATTTGATAGATCTGTTTCTAATAATAGGGAAGACGTGGCAACAACAAATTTTTCAGACTCTTCTGGCCATATTTCTCTTATTATTAAAGATAGATACAGATCTGTAAAAGCTTATATCACTATAAAGTTAAGGAAGCAATATATACAAATCGGCAGAGTGTTCTTTCAATAAAGTATGTTTGATTTGTATTTCCGAAATGCATGTGTATCTGGTTGCATACTCTTGTTTGTAACTTGTGTATTTGTAGAGGTTGAGGACCAAGGATTATAAATTGACAGAACCAAGGAACTTTTATATTTACGTGATAAGTTTGGCTCACTAGGAATAGTATTAGAGCCCGTTCTAATGAGTGAAAGTAGTGGACAAATATGATTCAATTGTTAGATCTTTATATGCAGTTCGACTCTGATTTTTACATTTTTATACTAATCATGTAAATAAAAAAATATATGATGTGATTTGAAAGCCTTACCTGTGTACTATTATTACTAGAAGTAGAACCTTGCGAACTTTTCGAGCTACGAGCTAGTGTGGGTCTGGGGATGTGCCAACTCTTGTCGAGATCTGCAGGGATCTGTAAGAAAAAAAAATATTTAAATTCTAGATTACAAAAAATTAACAACGCACATAAAAACGCGCATTAAATCCTTGTTTTTATTTTTTTTTCATGGCTATTCCATTCATGCTACGATCTGAAAATTGTCTTTGCAATAAATTATGACTTATGCAATGCTTGCGTTAGGTATTACCGTTAATAGTTGCTATGCTAAGTTGAGTTTGTTGATTAGGTGCTTATTTCAAGGACTCTGGGTGAAAAGTCGGTCTGCTAGTAATGTGATACAAATAAAAACAAGATTTGAAATGTTCTCTTTGTGCGGCCCTCCTTTTTTAAGAAACAGCCTTCGCTACTAGCTACTAACTATGGGCGGATGACAAAAAAGTGCATTCCGCATCATCAACTATTTTTGTTATGTTTTTAGGTGCGGTTTCCTTTAGGAAGCCTGCCTCGCGTATCTTTTCACATTATGAGGAGACACAATCACATTTCCTTAGAAATGCGTGGAAGCAAAATGCGAATGTACTTTGTGCAAGAAAATTTAACCGTGTCTTGTTTATTGTCATAATTGTAACCTACTCGGAATCACTGAACCGGACCAATGTTGCGCGGCCAAAAGTGCTTTAATCGCCCTATTAAATTAAGATCGCCCACTTTGTTAATAAACTGGTCTAAAAATAAGCCCCCTCGACCTTCGCTGTCGGTTCGTAATTTGCGGCAAAATAAAGGTGGATTTGAAAGGAATCATTTTTGGTGCCGCGCCTAAGCCGCAAGACGGATCGGTTGCCACTACAGGATTTGCCCGGTTCTGGCATGAGATTTCTCACAAACCGTATAAATTTGCGCGACTTAACGGCCTCGATTTTTATGGGACGAGCGCAATCTGCCGATTTCCTTATTGATTGGTAAAAGCCATTGTTCGTTCAATAGTTTTTTTTTCAATTCAATTTAAATATAACAATAATTCAAACAAAAATGAATTACCGGTGCTGAGTGGTTTCGGTTTTTTTCTAAAACATAATTTTAAAGCGAAACTTTTATATTTTCCCAAGTTTCAATTTTGCTTTAAATTAAACGATTAAAATTTATAGGAAAATTACATCATTTTCCTAAGCTGCTGAGTTTAAACAAATAATTAAAATTGACTAAAAATGTTAAACGTTTCTTCAGTTTAAATTCAATAAATATTAACGTCGAAATAAATATTCGATACATTTATAATTAATTTATTACTTAATTTGGCATACTGATAAGAACTAATAAATTCGAAACGGTATATGTCTGGTGGATCAGCCGACGAATGATTCTAGCTGGATACTGATCGTAACAAATATCAAATTCATTATTTCAAAAATAGGTTTTATTTATTCTTATAACAGTTGTTTGTTATTAATTGCATATATTAATAAACAGCATCATCAATAAGTTAATTATTATTTATATAAAATAGGAATAAAACGTGAAATCTCGTTATAAGAAATTACGTAAAATACCGTTGTTTTATAAAATAGTAAGCAAACCCGTAATGTAATTTAAAAACTGCAATATGTATAGATATTTGTGGGTATTTACTAATGTTTTAGTAATGCATGCAGTATCACATGTTTTAGCTAACCGGAATTCATTAATGTCAACAATTTGCATATATTTAGGTGTTTATATTTATCGTAGAGGATCCTATAACTTAATTAGCATTTTTTCAAAATTTTTACATCTTAAAGTGCTAGCTAACAATAATTATAACCTTTCTTTTGAACATCCTTTAGATGGGTTTGTTTATATTTAGTAGTTTACTGCCACGAAGTTCTTTAAACGACCTTGCTTGGTATAAATATTAATTTGCCAGGCACATTCCGGATCTAGGTTTTTTTATTGCATACCTCGACGGATTCTATTTTTGTAGTGGCAGGTTCAACGATATTTTATTGAATAATTCGAAAGGCACAGCCAGATTTCAGGATTTTCTCGTGATTTACACCTTATCAAATGTATTTGAGATGTTATATTGCGCTATATTTTAACACGAAAACGATTCGACAAAGCGAATGTATTTCTTTATTAATTCTTTGCAGTACTTTATATTTTGGCAGATATGCATGACTTAGGACCACGAAACTAATAATAATTATTATTATGATTACGTAAAGAATGTCTCGTCAACTTTCTTTCCTCGTAGTCGCGTGCGTTTGAACAGGTAGTCCACCAGGTGCGAATCGGTATTGCCTTGCCCAATTAGATAGGTATATTATGCAGTTTTCTTCGGCCTTGATCGCGTAAGAGATGTGGCAATATTTGGGAATTTGGAACCTTGTACCTTGTACTCGTGCTCTATGTTGTATCAGAGGAAATACGTTGTGTAACTTGTGACGTCAAGAAAAATTTGGCGTGATTCATTTTGTAATGGCATTTTCGATGCCGTTTCCTGATATTCAAGAATTATTCGCTCATTATAAAGCTTTAGAGTCTGGCATTTTGTTATAATAAGAAAATATATTACTTTGTTCTGACAGATGATTCAGGACACTTGTATAATATAAATGACATGTATTTTTTCTGTGCAATAACCAGTACTGAGTACATACAATACTTTTTTTTTACTATTTACCATTCGGAAAGAATAGCCTTATCATCGTTATTCAATCTTTGTCCTCTCAATATGGCCTCCAATGGTCCAACGACATGATTAGAAGAAATATAGTTACGACTGTACCGAGAACGTGACAAAACATGAAATTTATTGAATAAATGAATAAACCAAAACTTGGTGCTACTAGTTTCAGTAATAGAAGGCACAATAGTCGTTTAACAGTTTTTCTTATAGTAATCCAAATTCCATCTATGTCACAGAAAAGAATGGGGATAATTTTCAGCAGATGAATTTCTTGTTTAGGTCATATGCTTGTCGCTATTAGGCATGAGCATCTATTGGATAAGTATCCCTGTTAGAAAAAATTGTCGACGTTTTGTAACTTTTGAAAATATCCTTTTGTATACAATTTGTGAGCAGATTCGTTTGTTTTTTTTTTTCAGTATATTGATGAGAATAGCGTCGGTTTAAAATCCCTCTAATAAGGAAAACTCTTTGTATTTCATTATTTTCACGGTTTTTGGCAGTATTTTTCTATCTGTCTCGGAAAAAGTATAAATGACAATTTATCTTCCGTAGCAAGTTAAAAAGACATTGTTTACTTATGCTGCAGTGCAACAAACACGTTAGAAATGTTTTTACTTTTTCAAATAAGAAAAACTTGAAAAGCTGTTAAATTAAAATCTAATACACTGGAAAGCAAATATAACAATATATCTTCCTACTTGATTTCTTTAACAACAGCTTTTTCACATTTCCTTTGTCAGTCTCTTCTGTTTTTCCTTTCGTTTTGGTCTCGTATACTTTTCTGGTGAGTATGTTTATTGGCTTCCCATCCATCCTAATTGTCTAGATTTTGACTTCCGTTGATTCCTACTACTCGAGTTCCTATTTTATTTAAACGCGTAACCACTTGTATAACTGTTACTTTGTCTTTTAAGGTTTCATGTTACAAAAACTAATTCCCAAGGAAAACACGTATAAATATTTCATATATACAGGGTGTCCGAAAATTATGTGCGAAAAGTTTAGGGGATAATTGTACTCATAGAAATAATGATATAAGTTTTTATGTTACTTTTTCAACACCTCATTATTAAAGGAGTTACATGATATCAAAATTATTATTTTATAAATGAATTTGTTTCCATTTTGTGTTCAGCAATTTTGTTTAAGTTTGTGCATTTATTACTGGTCTGGTAACAAACTCTTATGAAAAAAACATCAAAATTCCTAAGCCTAAAATAAGGTGTCCAGAATTTAGAAATTTGTCAGGGCACAATACGAAATTTTCATATTTATATTAATGGTAATTATAATATCGTATATATTTTATTTATTTATTGCTTGATAATTTACGAAAATTGTAAATGAATAGGTATATTATGAACAAATTACAGATAAAAAATGTGAATACAGTGCAACTTCGACAATCCGGACACATATAGTTTTAGAGTCGGTCGGATTAACGAGTTGTCCGGACTATAGTAGGTGAAAATATTGAAATAATCTAAGTGAATTAAATTGTATGTGCATACATGCATTGTACATACTATGATTTATTAAAAAACGAAGTTATTTTGTGCTGACTAACTTTGTTGAGGTGGTTGATTTGTGCTTTTTGCTGTAGTCTCTTTAACAATAGAATATCCTGCATATCCAAATTATTCTCCTCAGCCCACTGAACGCAAACTGAAAATGATTTCTTTGCAGCAGCATTAGAGATTTTTGTTTTTGCATCCATTACTACAAAGTCGTCTTCAGAGTCCGTAAGCAGCACTGACGATTAATTTCGTTTAGCGTGTTGTATTATTTCTTCATCGGAAAAATCCAATGAAAATTCATTTGCACCAGTTGCCCAATCATTGATATCTTCTTCAGTTATGTCATTACTGAAATGCATAGCTCCAATCATATTTTGGATGGATTTCATGTCATCATAGATGACTGCAGTTCATGACGCAGAACCTGAAGCGGTATCATATCTTCATCATCCCAGCACGATGGTTTATTACATTATTCTGGTTCAAATGTTACCGGGTCCATTATAGGTATTCGAAATAAATTGTTTTATTTTCTCCTTATTTTTTTTTAATGTCGCAAATCGTTGATTTAGGAACATGGAATTTTTCGGCAACCTGCCTAATAGTTTTTCCCTCATCAAGACTTTGTAAAATATCACACTTTTCTTTTAAGGTTAGTGTTTTATGTTTGCGTTTATTATTTAAAAACATGGCACTTGGATTGGAATTAGACAAACACGCTTGCGAAAGAATGAACCGAAACTGAAGTAATGATAGAGCGTGATAATGATAGAACGTGCCTGTAAAAAACTGGAAACTCCCGAATTTTAATATTTATTCTTGCATAAAAAAATATGTCCGGATTGTAGAGGTAAAAATTTTAAATTGTCCGAAATGTAGAAGCGTCC